TTCCATCAGTTGACCTTAGTGTTAAGGTTCTGCTTTACCTGTACTGTATTTTATGAAAGTTGTGCCATCTGTCATTAAGCCATGTACTGCTGTGATATATGGGACATTTAGGTGTCTTTGATGTGATGTCTGTGTAGATACATTGATGTGGTAGAATTCTGTTCTAAAGTCTCACAGGGGAGCTGTGATAGGGGGCAAATGGATGGGCAAAGATTAGTTTGGACATAGTCATAGGTAGTGACTTTTTTTTTGAGATCATACAACATGTATGGTGTGATTTCTGTACCAAAGAGATGCTTATTTCTGTGTAAGAGAAAAGCTTATATTCTGAAAATTGTAATTTTTAAATGTATAAGAATAAATGTATTACAAGTCAATTTCTGTCTCTTTGGACTCATTATTTAAAACTTTGTGCGGAAGTTCAACCATGCAGGAAAGGTGACTGACTTAAGATTGCCGTGTGTCCCTCCCACGCAGGGTTAATGTTTGTATTTTGTATTTTTCCAGGTGTCCTCCCCCCTCCAGTGTTAGACTCACGGGAACTTTACTTTGCCACCTCCTAAACCCATCCCCTTGTTTTTCTTGCCATAGCCACTGTCTCAGAAGTGTTGATTTTTGCTTATATGGTTTTACATAGTTGTTGATTTGTCCCTCTGCTACCCCACGTCATGCTGCCACCTGAGCCCAGGGCCTTGTGTGTGCTAAGCAGGTACTCCTTAGGCCCTAAATTTGTGTTTGATATTTCTCATACTTAAAGTATTTTGATTTTGAGACATGGTCTTTTAATGTAGGCTAGACTGAGCTCGAAGTTGCTACATAGCTGAAAATGACCCTGAATTCCTACCTTTCCTTCACTTCCCAAATGCTGGGGTTAAAATTATCCCCTTTTATATACTTGTGTTTTATTCTGTGAGAAAGCTTGAGGATAATAATTTTTTTAAATTTATTTACCTTTATTTTACGTGTACTGGTGTTTTTGCCTGCATGTATATCTATGTGGGAATGTCAGATCTTGGAGTTATAGACAGTTGGGAGCTGCCATGTGGTGCTGGGATTTGAACCCAGGTACTCTGGAATAACAGTTAATACCCTTAACTGCTGAGCCATCTCTCTAGGCCCAATAATCATTTTCTTAAAGACATACTATCTGGTGTTTTTTGAGACAGGTTCTCTGTGTAACCTGGTTGTCTTGGAACTAGCCCTGTAGACCAGGCTGGCCTTGAATTCACAGAGATCCACCTGAGTGCTGGGATTAAAGGCATGCACCACCATTATCTGGCAAGAAGCTTTGACTTGGCACGCAGCTCATTACAAATTTCAGAGGAAAATGTAATAGTCTTGATGCGAAGTGAACTGTGGATCAGGCACTTGGACTTGGGAACATTATTACGTCAACTTATCTATCTGCTCTGAGGAAAGGGAACCTGCTCACGGAGCAGGTAATGGAAGCTGAGATGAAACCGTTTCCCAGGGCTCAAGAGGTGGTTCGCTGGTTAAGAGCACTGGCTGCTCTGGCAAGAGGATCCAGGTTTGGTTTCCAGCAGCCCCGTGGTGTCTCACAGCCATCTGGAGCTCGGGTTCCAGATGACCTGTCACGCCTTTCAGGCCTCTTTGGGCAGCAGGGACGAATGTGGAGCACATCCACCCATGCAGGCCAGCCTTACTCAGAGATGGTGACAGGATGCTCAGTACCCTGTGACATCAGATGATTAGTGCTTGTTTGTACCTGCCAGCTTGGAGAGACATGCTGAAGTTCAGGTCTCCCATGTTACCCCTGTGGCAGTGCCATGGGTGCTCAGATATTTGGCCCAGCATTCTGGGTTTTTTCAGTGAGGGTATGGAGAACATTAAGGGTTCGTACCCCTTTTTGTGTATATTCATGTCTGAGGCTGGGATCAAACCTAGGGACTTGTGTATATTACTAACCCCAACCCTTGAGATTGTTTTTTATGTTTATCTCATGTGTCCTGGGGTAGCTTCAAATTCTGTGTGTACCCACGGCTGGTCATGGACTCCTGCTGCTGCTCCTGCCCCCAGATGCAGCTATTCAAGGTGTATGCCAGGCTGGGGTGAAGTTTCAAACATTAAGCAAACCATTTTCAAGGTAAGGTGGTGAGCCTTGTCCAAACAAAAGGCTGAACAGAGGCAAAGGGCCTCAAGAGGGTTGTGTCAGCCTTTGGAGGGGACACTGATTTTGATTTTGCAGTAACCTGTCAGCCTTCAGACTTGAACCAAGACACCAGCTCTGTAGCCTGAAGACTGCTGGCCTCCAGAATGATGAGTCAGTTCTTTGTAATTATCTCTTACCACTGTGTATGCTTTTACATGTATACACATACACGTGTGTTTGGAGAATTAGCTAAAAGTAGTGCTAATATCTGCATAACATCTACCCCAGTTACCTTTTTTGAGCACCAGGGCTGGACATTACAATAAAGATGGATATACAAGTATCTCTGGTATGCTAACACCAAACACTTTGGCTGTACACTCATGAATTGATTATCTAGATCACATCGTAGTTCTATTTTTTAGTAACACTACAGGGAAAATGTTGAGATCTAGGAGCTTTCTGATGAAATCTTTAGTGTGCTTTAAATATAGGTTTGGGTTGTCTGTAATAGGGATATATGAATTTCTCTCTGTCATACTTGTATCCATTTTATTTCTTTCTATTTCTCAAGCTAAGAACTGTATACTAAATAAGAGTTATGTAAGTGGGCACTTGTAGGAGGCACAGCGTAAAGAAAGAATTGAGGAACCAAACCTGTTAAACACACAGGCCTATTATCTTCAAAGGAAGAAAATGGCTGACAGTTGGTCACCTGGAAAGCTGGAATGGATGTTGTCTGACAACCTGATGAACTTTTTGCTATTCTATGGAGCCAGCCTTTTTGAATATCCTCCCCAATATCCTGAGCATTGCTGAGGCCTGAATTCTGAGCCTTGTCTTTCAGTGAATAGAACCCAGTGTATGAAAGAGGCCCCATATACTTGCATCATCTCTGAATAGCATCCATCGTTAATGCTTATCACAAATCCTTCCTCCTTAGGCCCTTGCCCTGAGCACTGTTCTCTGTCAATAGAATTCATTCTTATTGTAAAGGTCACAGGTGCTTTGCTACCTTGTTAGGGAGTTTCTATGTAGCTATGCCTAAAGCTTTGTTGTGATAATTATCACATGGAAACTACTTCCCAGAGTTTTACTCTGCTTAAATGTGTAAGAAAAATAAACTCTGAGGTCAGACTCTGGAAGTTCTGACCTGGCACCTGAAAAATTGGTGCTGAATGGAGTTTCATTCTTCATGTGGTTGGTTCCCAGGCTGCCCATGATAGTTGTGGGGGCCCCTACAGACCCTCTAATATTTCATTCTCCACTCCAGAGGAAAGGCCTTCATTCATTCCCTGTTTAGCTTAGTCAGCTACAGCTTTGTTTTATATCACCTTTATTAGGCTGGCTTTTGTTCCTCATTTTTTTAGTTTCTACAGGGCTTTTATCATGAAGGCAGTTGAATTTTGCCAAAGGCTCTTTTTTGTATGTCTCTTGAAGTAATCATATGATACCTGCTCTTTTCTACTTTTGTGTTATATTTAATTTATTGATCTGTGTGTGATGGGCCAACAAACTTGCATCTTTGGATGAAACAAATTTGGTCATGGTGTGTGACCTTCCCAGTCTGCTCTGGACATTGATTTGTGAGTGTTTATTGAGAATCTTATGGTCATCTTTGTTCATCAGGGCATTGATCAATAGTTTTTCTTCTTTCGTTGTGCTCTTCTCTGATGTTGATCAGGGCTGTGCGGGGTCATGGAGTGGGGTTGCTAGTGTCCTTTCGCTTTCCATTTGAGGGATGGCTTGAGTAGCATTGGTGTTAGCGTTTCTTTCAGGTTTTCTTTTCTGCTTGTAAATAGGAATTGTTTATATCCTCTTGATTTAATGTTGTTAGGTTCCATGTGTCTTGTCACCCTTTTAAACAATCAATTGATTGAAACATGAAGGTTTATTTCTTGACTCTGAATTCAATTTCATTGATCTAAATTTTCTCATTCCTGCTTTCTTGGCTTACTCCTTTGAAATATTCCTACCTACTGTCTTCTTTTGCATCCTCATGATGGCACTCACTTTAAGCAAAGCCAAAAACCAAACCAAACCAAAACAAAACAAAACAAAAAAACAAAGCCTGAGGAAGGAGTGACAAGAAAAGGATGGTTCTGAGTTTATAACCAATGTGGCTGTCTGTCTCATGCCTCTCTGTGCTGTGTGTACAGATGTGTATATGACAGAAGAAGGATGGTTCTGAGTTTATAACAAAGTGTGGCTCTCTCTTGTGCCTCTCTCTGTGCTGTGTGTACAGATGTGTATATGAGTGAACATACATGTGTGGAAGTCAGAGGTTGACATTGACGGTCTTCCTCAATAGCTGGTCAACAAGTGTTGGGGGCCCTCCATTCTCTTGTCTCCCCTGCATGGGGGGTGCAAGTATGCTCTCCCACATACTTGCTGGGTTTTTATATAGGTGCCTGAGATCCAAACTCAGTGTGTGCACAGCAGCAAGTAGTTTATCAGCTGAACCATATCCCAAGCTCTATTTTTGCCTGTTAGAGACAGGGTCTTTCTATGTAAATAAGGCTGGCCTTGAACTTGTGATCCCTCTGCTTCTTCCTCCACAAGGATAGGACTACAGGTTTGTCTACCTGGCAGCGAGGCTTCCTTCCTTTCAATAAATATATTATGTTGACTCTCAAATGTGGAGACTCAAAGAGCAGTACAGAGTATTCTTTAAACAGAATGTTTCTATTTCACAAACAACCGTATTTAAAGTGTGTGTGTGTGTGTGTGTGTGTGTGTGTGTGTGTGTGTGTGTGTATGGTGTGCGTGCGTGCACATGCATTCCATGGTGCACAGGTATCGGTCAGAGGACATTTTCCTGGAGTCTATTCTCTCCTTCCCCTATACATAGCTTCCAGATATTGAGCTCAGATCAGCACACTGCATAGTAATCACTTTTATTCACTGAGCATCTCATTGACCCCACACATTTTATCTGATGCCATCATATGTGAGTATTATAAAACTATAGACCTTGATTTAAAAATGCCTGTGGCTCTTACGCTTGCTGATAGGCACAACCGAGAAATCTAGGAGCACTGGGTAGAATTTGTGGTGTTAGTAGATAAACACAATATATAGACTGCAAAAGGCTCTGCATTGTGTGTGCCCAGCACTCACCTCCATGCAGTGTGCACAGATGCATGCTGGTATACATTTCCCCTCATTCCCTATGCAAATATGTACTATGCATGCACACACTGTCAGAATAATTACTTCTCTTTGTATGAGCACCGGCTACCGTCCCCCACCTCCTGCCGCTAACTTGTCTTAGCCATAAGTTATACATTTTGTAGTATTTACTCCAGATTAGCAAACCCCTCAAGAAGCACTTCACAGTATTCTCTGAGAATGAATGATTTTCAGAGCCAGTTATGAATAAGAATTGAGTCTAGATGATTGAGAACCCAGTGACAGATCACAGGGGTCTGTGAGCGCTGCCGGCTTCATGAACTCAGTGGACATCTCCCGCAAGGGCCACGTTTCCACCCAGATGAATGATGGAGCATATGCCTTCTGAGTCCCTTTGCTGTCAACAGATCTTCTTTGTCTGTAATTGTACCAGAGTTGATGCATCATCTCCTTGAAAGGTCTGGTGGTCAACGTATAGATAATTGGATTCAAAGCACTGTTGATGGGCAGAATGAAAATCACCACCCAAGAGGTAATAGTATCTGGAAGAGGAAAGATGAGAAATCTGAGTATTGGCAAATGTTGTAAGCATCTCTTGTGTCTTCCAACTTCAGCACCCCCTTTTCTTTAGTGTGACATAATTAAGCACCAAGTCTCCATTATTTTCAGGATGTCCTCCTGTCAGTGTTTAAAGGGATGCCAGTACTGTGAGGGCATGGGCTCTTGCTGGGAGGCTTTTTCTGAATGCATCAGAGTGCTGACAAAAGAACACTATCGGGAGTATTAATACAAAGTTATGACATATCATTCTGGACCATTTAAAGAAAAAGCCTGTTGTTTAGCATTTATCACCATTTGCAAACACTTTGACTATTAGGAGGCACATGTTGCATTTCTCAGAACGTGCAGATTTAGCTCCAACAGATTTCTTTTTGTTCTTTATTTGATGTTCTTCTGATTCTCTTTATGGCATGGCTAGGATTGAACCTAGGGCTTTGTACATGCTACACAAACACTCGACTGGTTTCAAGGCCTATTTGTTCTAAAAATAAGCACATATGTTAAGGTTTGCACACATGTGCGCGTGTGTGTTACATTCAGGTACTGTGTGCATGTGTGTGCATGCACGTGGAGGCCAGAGGTCACTGCTACGTGTCTTTTCCCATTGTTCTCCACATTACTTTTTGAGACAGTACCTCTCAGTGAGCCTGGAACTCACCAAATGGGCTAGGCTGGCTGGCCAGTGAATCCCGGGACTCCCTGGTCTCTGTCTCCTCCCAATGCTGGGGTGTGCTATCGCACACTTTGCTTTTTATGTGGTTGTTGGGGAACTCAAACTCCTGCTTGTGTGGCAAGCATCTTATAAACTGAGCCATCTCCCCAGAATGCAACATTTTCAGGCTTTTGACCATATATATATTCCAGGGAAATGTCTTGGAGTAGATAGTGACACAGACCTAAAACCCCAAGAACTGAGACAAGCCAGGTGGCGGCGGCACATGCCTTTAACCTTTAACCCCAGCACTTGAGTCAAAGGCAGGAGGATCTCTGTGAGTTTGGCGTCAGCCTGGTCTACATAGCTGGTTCCAGGACATTGAGGGCTATACAGAGAAACCCTGTCTTGAAAACCCCAAAACCAAAACTAAAACAACAACAACAAAATAGAGGCCAAGACAAGTACAGGTCTATTCTAGAGTAACTTAGCATGACTGTGCCTCAAGATAAAAAGTGGGGAAGGTCTAGAGATAGAACTGGGTGGTAGAGTACTTGCCTAATATTATGTGGCTCTAGGTTCAATCCCTAGTATCACAAACAAGCAAGTACCCCCAAAATAAAGCAAGGCAAAGCAGGACAAAATAAAATCCGCAAACATGTGACTAAATTAATCTTTTTTTTGTCTGTGTCTGTATCTGTCTGTGTCTATGCCACGTGTGTGTGGGTACCCAAGGAGGTGAGGAGAGGGGTCAGATGCTCAGGAGCTGGCACTGCAGGTGGTTGCAGGTCTCCCGATGTGGGCACTGGGAACTGAACTTCCGTCCCCTGGAAGAACAGCTAATGCTTTTAACTGCTGGGCCATCTCTGCAACCTTCTAAAACTATCTTAAAAATCACCTTTGCGCAAATATAGAGCTACCGAACACTCAGTTTTTGTTATGATGTAACTGATGCCATTGTCTTTATTCTTCATAACTTGTCAGATTCTATTATCATCACCTGTGGGATCAGACAAAACTCAGTTATGCAAACATAAATGTAAAAATGTGCAGTCGGTAGGGGATGCTTGTACCTTTTTGTGATTAAATGTGCATGGCATATCTGTTTACAGTTTAGGCTGTTTAAACGTGGAGCCCTGTGGCACCAAGCACGCCTCCACTGTGGAGCATCCCTCCCACCAGCCTCGGAATGTCTTCCCAAGGAAAACAGCCTTTTCAACAATGCCTTCTACTTCCCTTTCCAGCCGCTAGCAGCCGCTAGTCTAAGTTCTGCCTATTCCAGGGGCCTCATGTGAGACGAATCAAAACATGTGGCCTTTTTGTGTCAGGTTATTTATTCAACACAACACCTTCAGGGTTCGTGTGTAACGAATGCAGCACCTGCTAGAAAGGTCCTTCTAAGGACTGCATGAGAAGCTCAGCGGGTCGAGGTTCTTGCTGCCAAGCCTGACGACCTGAGTCTGATGGCAGAATGTATGTGGTGAAAGGGGGGAATTGACTCCAGCAGATTGTCCCCTGACTTCCACGTGTGTCATAGCATACGTGTGCACACATGTACACACACAAAATAGATAAATGTAAAAAATGTTTCAAAGAGCTTCTTTTCTCTATAAGCTTCCTTTCTCTACACGCCTGAGTAATGATCGCATGGATGTTTGTGTGCTTCGTCCATCCATCTGTAGACCACCCTGCTCCTCCCTTCCTATGCTGCTGTCCACATAGGTGTGCTGATACCTGTTTTAGTTCTGGCTTTCAGGTACATTTATCCAGTTGTGGAGTGGCTGGACTGTACGGCAATTCCATGTCTAATATTTTGCAATTGCCGACACACTTTTCTACGGTAGCCATATCACGTTCAAATCCTACTATCAATGCACAAAATGTCAAATTTCTCTTTCTTGCCAACATATCTTTTCTCTCTCAACATAACAGCCGCTGTGATGCAAGTCATATACATTATTTTAAAACTCTGTGTTGTTTTCTGTTGTGTCAGACTCTGGCATAATAGTCATATGTATTGTAGGGAAAAGCATTTCTTACATTCTAAAGAAAAAGGAATTTATGATTTGGCAACTACTTTGGCTTGTTTTTCTTCATGGTCATTTTAAGCAGGCAACTGATTCAAGCACTGCACACCATTTATTTTGGTCATTGTACTTTGTTTTCATGATAATTTTGGCACTAGGCGTTCCTGGAAAGAGCTCAACAGTCTCTCAGTGAGCGCTTCATCAGTGTTACAGCCAGAGTCCACCCTGCTCTGACTAATAATTCTTCTTCTTCTTTTTTTGTTTTGTTTCTGGTTTTTTAAGATGGGGTTTCTCTGTGTAGCCCTGGCTGTCCTGGACTTGCTCTGTATACCAGGCTGGCCTCAAACTCACAGAGATTTGCCTGCCTCTGCCTCCCTGAGTGCTGGGATTTCAGGCATGCGCCACCCCCACCCCCAGCTTGCCTACTAATTCTTGAAAGGAGTTATTGTTAAGAGTATTATTTGTCTTTCTTAGAATAATGCTGCACAGATTTATTCTTCCCTGGAAAAGATTGTACCTGGTATTTCTACCTGAAGCAGAGAAAGAAATTTCAGAATAAAAATGGGAATCCAGCATAATGCATCAGTCAACACAATAAGGAAGAAGCGCTTGGCGAGGACCATCTCCCGTTTCACTTGCTTCTGAATTTCAGTTGCTGTTATGGTGCTTTGATGAACACTGTAAAACATGCTTCCATAGGAGAACACAATGATGATAAATGCCACAAGGTTAATACCTGTTTAGACCATGAACAATATTAATAGTGTATGTTAGCACTGTTTTAAGACAAACAGATAACATGCCTTAGGCGTTACTATTAAGGCCCACGAAGCCCGTAAAGTGGCATTTATTCATTCATTTATCTATCTATCTATCTATCTATCTATCTATCTATCTATCTATCTATCTATCTATTCTGTAACAAAGCGTTACTTTGGAGTTCAGACTAGCCTTCAGTTCAGATAGCCTAGGCTGGATACCAACCTACAATTCTCCTGCCTCAGATCACAAATATGTTCCAGATCTCCTACCTGACCTCCATTTTCAGTTACACAGTCTTGTCCCCATCTCTGTCTCAGACCACTCAAAGGGTCCTGTCCTTCCTCTCTTCCTCCATCTGGGGGGAGTATATAAATCCTCTAGACGCAGGCTACCTCCCTCACCCCATCCCTGAGTGTCAGCCATCAATTCCCAGAGGCAATTGCTACCTGGGAACAAGCTGACCAGTGAGAACCAGGCAGTCTTCCATTCTCCTTCCTGTGCTTCACTTCCAGTTGCCCAGCCTTGTCCCCTGCCTCGTCCCCAGCCATGCAGCAGGTCACCTACAAGGACCTGTCTGTCCTCTCTGACCCCACCATCTGGAAACTCCAACAAACCTTGCAGCAGATCTGTCTTTTCTCTCTCCTGTAGACCATTCCAGCCCACCTCCCTTACAGCCCATGACATTCCTTCATGTCAGCTCCTAATAACTAGAAACGCATTCAACCCAGACTGCCAGTGGCCACACCTGGCAGGGAATCAAAAGCTCTCCTTACTAGGCAACCCACGGCCATCACACCCTCCTAAGACTCAGGGGTGGCAACAGATGCCAAGGAATGGAACACTCATTCAACGAAGACAAGATCTGGTATCAACACACAGAATCAGAATTACCCCAAACCCAGATGGCTAGATGCCAGAGCAAAGATCACAGTCATTAACAGCATATGGTGATATGTCTTCACCAGAAACCAGTAGCCCCACTACAGTAGTTTGAAAAAAGGCAATGTAGGTGCAGCAAAAACAAGGATTTCAAAATAGCTCTTATAAATATGCTCAAGGACCTCAAAGAGGGCATGAATAAATCTAAGTGTGAAAACACAAACTAACAGTGGAATAAAATGATGAAAATGGTTCAAGACATGAAAGTAACAATAGAATCACTGAAGAAAACCCAACCGAGGTAAAACTGAAAATGAAAAACTTTAGGACATCAAACAAAAACCCCAGAGATAAACCTCACCAACAGAGTACAAGAGCTGGAAGAAGAAACTTAGGACATTGAAGACAGGTAGAAGAAATGAATACCCCAAGCAAAGAAAATGTTAAATATAGAAAATCCAAGCACAAAACATCCAGAAAATTGGAGACTATGAAAAGACCAAATCTATGAGTAATAAGAATAGAGAAAGAAGATACCCAGGTCAAAGGCACAGAAAATACTTTTCAACAAAATTACAGGCGATTTCTCTAACCTTAAGAAGGAAGGGCCTGTCAAGGTATAAGAAGCGTACAGAACACTAAATAGACTGACCCAGAAAAGAGATTCCCGTGACACACAATCAAAACATTAAACAGAACAAAAAAATATTAAAAGCTGGAAGGAAAAAAGAGCAGCTATCATGTAAAGGCGGGTCTATTAGAGTAACCCCTGATGCCTCTCACTGGAGACTGAGAGCCGAAAGGGCCTAGATGGATGTTTTACAACCACAGATGCCGTCCCAGATTGCCACAGCCAGCACAACTTTCAACCAGAATAGACGAAGAAAGAAAACCATTCCACAACAAAACCAAATTTATCTATCTACAAGCGCAGCCTTGGACAGGCATTAGAACAACAGCTCTCAGCGCGCGCCGGTCGCGACCCCCTGGGGTTCGAATGACTAACAGGTGTGGCCTAAGACCATTGAACAAAACACGGATATTGACATTATGATTTATAACAGCAGCAAAATCACAGTTACAAAGTAGCACTGAAAATAATTTGTGGCCGAGGATCGCAGCATTAGAAAGGTTGAGAAGCGCTGAGTTAGAAGGTCCGATGCTGGTGAACAACGGACAGCATAAATGAGTCTCATACTGTGAGAAGAGTTTCATACTCTTCCTCCGGCAAGAGCTGAACGCAGGAAGGCTTGCAATGCAAGGTTTCTTACCAAGAAAGATGACCACTGAATAAATCTGGGCTCCAGTACTTCCCGTGTCTTCCGAATGAAGAGGAAAGCATACACCATTGGTGCCATAGTAGTTTTTGAAAAATTCCTTGTTGCTGAGTGGAGCAAAGGCCACTACAAACCCAAAAATCCAAATGAAAACCAGAACCGTGATAGTTCTACATTTTCGAGGCCTTAAACACCGAAAAGGATACACAATGCAGACGTATTTTTCCAATGTCAGGAATGTTAAAAGTAAAACCGATACTTCTGTGGACAGAATGGCCAAAGACCCCATAAACTGGCAATGGACACTCTCCATCCACGGTTGCGCATGCTTGTTGTATTCTCCCCGAAACTTGAGGTCAAAGGCTCCGATCACGAATAAATATACTCCCATTAGGCAGTCGGCACCTACAAGGGTCAGGTTTACAGGTTCAGGGAAACACGTAGTATTCTTACTAGTATATTCTTATAGTGTTCTTTACACAGAACATTTTAAATGATCCCTGTTTCTATGCTATGAAGACATTTTGTTCTCTTAAGATTCACGGGTTGGTTATGCAGCTCGGCAGTAGAGTGCACGCGCAGCATGAATGAAGCCCTGGCTTCAAACCCAAATACCAAGTAATCCCTAACTTGGACGAGGACCCATTAATCCACTGGCTTTGTAACTACTCTCTCAGGAGACTTGGGAGGGGTGGGAGAGACGGCAAAGCCGTTAGGAGCGGGGACGGCTCTTGCAGATGACCTATGTTCATCTGTGTTCCCAGCCCCGGCACTAACTCACAACCACCTGTAACTCCAGCCCCAGAGGATCTGACGCCTCTGCCCTCCTTAGAAACACACATATACATACCCGAGCTTTAAAATAAAATAAAAACGTTAAAAAGAGAAAGCTACAGTTAACTATGTGATTACCTCTCTGTATTTACAATGCCGGTCTGTAAAACGCCCTCTGTTTTGGTCTCATCTGGCGTCAACCCTTTGGCCGTATGAAAGCAGTCAGTGAAATTGGTTATGCTATAGATTCAGTTAGGGACTTAGATGGGGGAGGGGGGTCATTATTTGGTCCAGCTCTTCCAATTCAGCCAGATAAGTATCACCCCAAATCTGGAGACACTTAACTCAGACCTTTAGTTGGTGAAGTAATGGCTACAAGTTTTGAAGCCTATACAGTTAGGAGATACGCATAATTATGAACAGCTTTGCAGCCAGCACAATTTAGAAGCGCTGGTGACCCGAGCTCACCTAACCAGCATGATTTTTCTTGACTCTCTCTCTCCTATTATAGTTTTCTATTCCCTTTTAGGTTCTTATAGTCAAAATTAATTAGCACTCAATGTGCAGACTTCTTAATCTTTTTACCTTTTAAATGCTCTTTTAATTAGTGGCATTTATTATATAAACTAATAGTTTTCATTATTGAATTTTCTTTTTATTACAATAATATTTTAACTAGTTTTTTGAGAATTTCAATGTTTTGGTCATTATGACATTTTCATAGATACGTATCGTGTGCTCTGACATTTTTTTTTTCAAGCAAAACCAGATTTTTTTTGAAATCATAGATGTGATTTTAGAATTTTAGAGTCGTAAGGCTGATTTTATTTTTTTGAAGTCCTTTTTAAAAAATGATTCCATGTTAATTTTTTATGTGAATTGGTATTTTGCTTGCATGAATATCTGTGTGAGGACATTGGATTCCCTAGAACTGGAGATATGGACAGTTGTGGGCTGCCATGTGGGTTATGGGAATTGAACTAGGGTCCTCTGGAAGAGCATCATTGCTCTTACCCTTGAGACACCTCTCCAGCTCCTTGAAGTCTTTTTTCTTTTTAATTAAAAAACTTTTATACCATAGATTCTAATTATTCTAATTATGCTTTCCCCTCCCTCAATTCCTCCCAGATCCTAACCCCCATCCATCAACTCCATGATATTTCTTTCAAACAAACAAACAACCAAGAAACACACACAAAACTAAAATCCAACCCAAAAATACAAGTAAAAGAACAATAAGACCAAAAAAAAAAAAAAAAAAAAAAAAGCCAAAACAGAGCAGTATGAGACGAAAGTCTACAAAGACCATTGAGCTTTGTGTTGGCCAGCTAACTACCTCTGCACAGGGTTTAGTCTGAAATGTGTCTAATGTACTCAGTAAGACTCCACGAATTTTTCTTCTTGAACAATGATTCTAATATTTGTTTTAACAATATAGTTATCTTCTAGCATTGCATAGAGAAATTGAAATTGACTCAGAATTTTGAAGCTGACCTTTAAAGTTGTAAACATTTTGTGAGTTTTGTTTCTCACACAGCTTGCTGTTGGGGTTGGTCTGATGCTTATATTTTGATGCTACTTACTGGCCCTCAAGATCTGCTTACTGCCTCTTCCTTGTTGTGTAAACCTGCCTACAACATTATTCCTAATTGGTTGCTTAAAAGACCTAAAACCTGGGCAGGGAAGAATGAGGTAGGCCTGGTTAAGGTTCCCAGGTGTTGGGAACTGGAGAATCACGGGAAAGAATAGACAGACAGAAAAAGAGGATGGGTCAGTGTGGAGAAAGAATCACATGGGCAGGGAGGAAGGACTCCAGTAATGTCAAGGAAAGGCCCAGATGAAGAATAGAAACAAGTGTTGATACGATTATGGATGGAAGGTAGCCCAAATACGGATGGTTAAGGTGGATGGCATTGGATGGGGGCTGGGAGGTGGGTGGTGAGGATATTGAGACAGCATAGGCAGAAATATCTGCCCAGCCCAAGGTAAATAAGACAATTATAAAATCCAACAGGTGTTATAAAATCTAATTGCGATAGTGGGTTAAATAACACTGCTGTAATAATTATAGGACATATAATAAACATTATATAGCTCAACACCAACTTTATAACCAACAACAGCTTGCAATGAAAAGAAATTAGAACCCAGCCCTTGAGCAGTGTCTGGAATACAAATGCAGCCACTCATGCGGTGGTGGGCATCTTGTGGAGGACTTCCTGACTTGCCTCAGGGGCTACAGGTGCATCCTCTGCTTTGGGACCCAGGCTTCATCCTTTGCGAAGTGTGGTTTTTCATTCATTTGTCTTTGTGGTTCTCATTTAACACAATACTTTACAGTCACGTGTCACAGTTGAACAACTTAAGCCAAACCACAAAAGCAGCTCTGGGTGTTAAAATGTAACCATGAAAGGCAATGGCTTCTTTCTTTTTTTCTTTTATTGAAAATAGATTCTTTTCTCATACAATATATCCTGATTATAGTTTCCCTTCCCTCTATTCCTCCCAGTTCCTCTCCTTCTCTCTTCTCCTCTGGAACCACTGCCTTTCTGTCTTTCATTAGTAAAGAACAGGCTTCTAACAATCAAACATGACAAAATAAAACATAATAAGATGAAGCAAAAACTATCATATTGAAGTTGAGCATGGCGACCAAGCAGGAGGAAAAGAGTACCAAGAACAGACACAAGAGTCTGAGACCCACTCATTCTCACAGCCCTTAAAATACAGGACTGTGAGAGTTCCATAAAAACACTAAGCTAATAGCTGTAATATACACAGAGGGCCTGGTGCAGACTTGTGCAGGCCCTGTGCTTGCTGCTCCAGTCTTTGTGAGCTCATATGTGTAAGGCAACAACTTCATTTGTAGTAAAATCATTCAGATTGAAAAAAAGATTTCTTTATTCTACCATTTGTGTGTGTGTGTGTGTGTGTGTGTGTGTGTGTGTGTGTGTGTGTGTTGAGGCATGTGTGCACTGGTTCATGTATGCCTATGTTATCAGTTTCTGTACTCCGCATGTGTACAGGTGCATGAGGCCAAAGGGTGTTGAAACCCCTGCAACTGTAGTTACATGTGGTTGTGAGCGGCATGATTTCGGGTGCTGAGAACCAAACCTGGGTCCTCTACAAAAGCAGTGCTTCCTCTTCTGAGCTATCTCTCCAGCCCTGGCGTTATAAGGGAAGATGCCTTGTGAGCCACGCCCTTCATGAGAAAATTCTTGTGAGGGAAGCCTCCTTAACCCGTGTAAGATGACTGAACTTTATTATCATTATTATTGTTGTTGTTGTTGTTATTTGTGTGGTGTGGTGTGGTCTGTGTGTGCACGCACGCACGTGTGTTCCCACATGTGTAGAGGCTGGATGAAAGCACTAGATCCCATGGAACTGGAATTACACGCAGTTGTAAAATAGTCACTCTTAGCTGCTAAGCCATTTATCTTACCCTTAAATTTTTTAGTTTAAAAACTAATTTTCTTACGACTAAAGTGATTTATTTTTTATTGTAGAAAATACAGAAATACCATATAAACAAAAAGAAGGAAGATTTTAAATCTCATAATTCTAAGACTCATGGAACTTATTTTCTCTCTTAAATTTTCTTTTAAGATTTATTTATTGTATAAGTATGTTTCCATGTAAGAAGGTGTATAATGTGGGTGCCTGGTGTGGACAGAGGTCAGAAGAGGGTGAAGGAGCCCTCAGAAGTGGAACTGGATAGCTGTAAACTACCATGTGGGTGCTTGACCTGAACCTGCGTCCTCTGTGAGAATTAACTGTGCTCTTAACTGCTGATTCATCTCTCAGCCTTTTCCTCTCTCTCTGTCTGTCTCTTTTGGACTATTTTATTCTTATTTTTGTTATGTGCGTGTGCACCTGAATTTGTACATGGGTGTGTGCGCGTGTTTGCAGATGCCTCTGGAGCCCAGAGATGTGGCAGTCCCTGGAGCTGAAGTTATGAGGTGCTGTAAGCCACCACCTGTGGGTGCTAGGAACCCAACTTTGGTCCTCTAGATGAGCAGTGCTCTTAGCCGTGGAGCCATCGCTCCAGCCCCACAAAATTTATTTTCTAATAGCAACAATTGTGCACATTTCAAGCCTAGTTCCTCTGTAACCAGGAAATACTCACAGCAGAGAGAAATGATCGACATGGCATGCAGCTTGTTCTCAGACCTGATGTACGGTCGCATACAAATAACAAATATGTTTCCAAAGCAGGTAATTGCAGATACAACCCAGACAAAGACTCTCTGAATGATGCTTGCCAAGAGGTTCTCAAGAGAAGAAATCCCATCTGTGTTGGGCTTACAGCTGCGCACATGTGGTGCATATCCACAGTACTGAAACTTCTTAAAATATCTGATGTACAAAGAGGAAACAAAGTTGCATATACTTAAGTCAGTGTTATCACTGATATTTTTCTTCAACATTTTTCCAACATTTTCTCTGTAGAAAGTGTTTTCATGTAAGATACAGTGGAATAGAAAACATTTCCTTAGCCAATCACTCATGATTCTGAAGTTCAAAATTTAATTCTTATTCATTTGACTTTACAGTAAAAGACTGTGTGGGTCCGAACTACAAGCAGGCATAAAGAATGTGTGTTAGACATGTTTTAGCGTATGCACAAATGGTTAGCTTGTGAGCAAGAGATTAGCCATAGAAGCTTTCAATGGCTGTTTCCAGAATTCAGTCATAGAAACCAGTGGTTCTCGACCTGTGGATTGCAACCCTTTTGAGGGCTGAATGACGCTTTCACAGGGGTCTCCTGAGACCGTCAGAAAACACAGATACTCACATTCCAATTTGTAACAGCAGCAAAAATACAATTATGAAGCAGCAACGAAAATAATCGTATGGTTGGGGGTCACCACAACATGAGAACTGTTAAAAAGAGTTGCAGCGTTAGGGAGGTTGATTGCCACTGGTACAAACACATGGTTACGAAGCCCTTATAACCATAGCTTTGCCACAGCTGGGCTTACTGCTTGGCTCCCAGGGGGGGAAATTAAATTCTTTCTCTTTGCTGCTTCCATGGTTTTTCTGTTACAGAAGTTATAACATAACATCACATTAAGTTATTAGCAATAACTACTAACCACGTCTATTGCCCACACTAGAATTTGAAACACGATTAAGAATTAAATGTCAAACGAATTTTTTCATTTGATAAAGACATCACCTGGATAAACAAGAATTACTGTGTGTCAGCAGCAACACGAGTGCCACTTACTGGGTACGTTTAGACATGAGGAACAAGTTCTCTAGTGAACACCATGAAACCAGTGATAGCATCATCAGAATAGGAGATAAATCTTCAATGGGGGAAAATTATGTGATAGGAAATTTCCTAGTAATACTAGAGATTGGACTTCAGACTGCATCAATCTGCCTCACAGGCAAAGAGTGATGGTGAAAACCAGCAATTATCTCTATAGTATAAACAGTTACAGTAGTAAGCGATATAAGGTGGATTGGCTATTTTGTGTCTTGCCAAAGGCGAGGGCAGTTGCTGATATGTGCATCTGTTTTTTTTACGTTTCTCTGTGAGCTACGATGGGTTGAGCAGGGTATAAGGGTGGCTGTGCTGTTTCTTCGTGCTTAAGAGTCTGAGGCTAAACTGCTGTCATGAACAGAACCTCAGCAGTTACTTGTTTGCTAATTTGGCTTCTTAGCATAGAGTCATCTGTTAGCAATAATGTGCCTTTATTTCTTCAGAGGGAAGCATCAGCCACGGAATCATGGTGGAGGCTTGATGGAAGCCCTCCTCTAGCAAATAACCCAAGAGGAACCCTGAGCCTTGTCGATGGCATGTGAATGGCTTATTTCAGCAGGGCTTGGGTAAGACCACTGTTCAACTCTTCTTCCCATGAATCCTGCCCAATTCAGGCTCTTCTCTTAGTTACTTCTAGATTTTGTGAGCTACACTGGTTTCTTTCAACAAACTCAGTTCTTGTTGGTCAGACTGTTTTGTTTTGAACAATCAAGGAAGCTAATAAAAGCTCTGCCTCTGAGGAATCATGGCAAGCAGAAACAATGTCCTGTGTTAGACTTACAGTGCAAGGAAGATTACAGAGTGGCTGACAAGACACTTCTAAATTACTGAAAATTAGCATAGTGTGAAGAGAGGGGCAGTGCTTGCTATGCTAATCAACTCAAAATAATTATAAGGCATATGATCAATACAAAACCAGACACACTGCATAGAATTTACAAAGGTCACCATTTCATCCATGCACTTACTCCAGTCATTCTCTGACATTAGGGACAATTTTTTTCTGGAGAAGACTTCTCCCACCTTCATTAATTTGTAGCAATTATTTTTATATCATTTTGAAATATGTGTTTAGATATTATATATAATTTTATATTACATATCCATATTATATACAAACATTTAAAATGAAAAATTAATAATGGCTACAAACCAATGTGTGTGTTGTGTGAAATGTGTGTAAATATCTGATTGAGTGAAGACTCATGTGTGCCACAGCATTTGTGTGTGTGTTGGAGAATGGCTTCAGGTGTTGGTCTTGACCCTCCACCTTGTTTTTGAGGCAGAATCTCTCTTGTTGTTTGTTGCTGCATTTCATATTCCAGGATGCCTGGCTGCCAAGCTTGCGCCTATGTCCTAGCCCCCCCTAAGGAGTGCTGAGATCACAGCCCCACTTGTTCTGTCTTCTACTTTGGCTCCAGGGATCTAGGCTCAGGCGTTTTCACCTGCTGAGCCATCTCCCCAGCCCTATTTGTAATTTTTTTATATTACTTACATACACTCTTATATCCTCATCTGGTGGCACTTACACAAATGGTACACATTGCTATCTTGTTGGGTAAAAATTAGCACCTGTGAGTATTATTAGAGATGTGTGTTTCGTAAGACTGAGTAGACCCTTCTTACATCTGGGGCTTTTGGTATTTGACCTTCTTCCCATAAAATGTTATCAGAGTGTGGAAAACTAAAAATCTGTATAACTGATGTCAGTCTTTAAAAGTTAATTATTGACTACTAGATGGTCTGAGATCATCTAGGCTGCTGACAAATCTCATAGCCTGGGAGTTTAAACAATAAACATTCATTTCTCGGTTCTCTACGTTGGGAAGTCCAAGGTCAAGGCGCCAGCAGCTTAGGTACCCTGGTGGAGTGCTGCTGCCTGGCACATTTCTACTGTGCCCTCACAGGCGGATGGTGCAAGCGAGGCTCTCCCCCTTCCTCCTTTCCTTCCTCCCTCCCTTTCTTTTTTCCTTCCTACCCTCTTCCCTTCCTTCCTTCCTTTTTTCCTTCCTTTCTTCCTCCCTTTGTCCCTCCCTCCCTTCTTTCTTTTCCCCTTCTTCTCCCCTTTCCCCCACTCCCTTTCTTCTTTCCTTTCCTAATGTTTGATACTTTCAATTTTCTTATTCCCTCTTTTGTGTATGCATTCATGGTGGAGACCCAAAGAGAAGTTAGGAAGTTTTTCTCTTTTATTTTCCACTTTATTCCCTTGAGACAAAACTTCTCATTGAAACCAGAGCTCAGCTGGTCACCCAGCAAGCCCTTTTATCTCTGGCCACCTCCAGCAGTTTGATCATAGGCTCACAGGGTTATAAGCTTACATGGGTGCTGGTCAACTCAGGTCCTTGTGCTGTCATAGGACGCTCCCCAACTGAGCTGTCTCCCTACCCAGCATGCCCTCCCCTCTCCTTTCTTCCTCCCTCTTGCTGGGAATCCATTAAACCTAGGGCTTCGATGTACTAGCTCTAGTCTTTCTCAAATTTATTTTATTTTTAAAATATTTATTTATTTATTTATTTATTTTATTTATTATATAGTGTTCTGGCTGCGTGTATGTGGCATGCCAGAAGAGGGCACCAGATGTCATAATAGATGGTTATGAGCCAGCATATGGTTGCTGGGAATTGAACTCGAGACCTCTGGAAGAGCAACTAATGCTCTTAAACTCTGAGCCATCTCTCTAGCCCCTCATTTTTGTTTTGAGACAGGATTTCACTATGAAGCCATGACTAATTTGTAACTTTCCATGTAGACCAGTCTGGTTTCCAACTCAGAGATCCACCTATCTCTGCCTCCCAGTTGCTGGGATTAAAGGTGGTTTTCAATTCACTTTTACAGGGCACTAATACTATTCATGAAAACCACCCTGGTTTTCAATTCTCTTTTACAGGGGCACTAATACTGTTCACGAAGGCTGTGCCTGAAGGAGTTAATCATATTTTCAAGGCCTTAACATTGCAACATACAGTTTGGAAGAGGGAAACAAATACTAAACATACAGAAGCAAATTAGTACAAATTTTAAATAGTTTACTTACATTTAGTTTGGCTGTATTATATGGGGACACAAAGATTAAAACCAAGGTCAGCAGCAAGAAAATATCTACTTACATGTGAGAGAGGTTCATGAGAGGTCTAAACATCCTTCGTTGGATATTTGAAATTTCAATTCCTTCTAGGCTGCTAAAAATACCAAGTAACAGTCAAAAGAACACGCGCCATCCACAGCACAAGAAAACAGTTATTTTTGTGAAAGAAAGTGTACTAAAGTGCCTTTAGTTACCATTATTCTAGACGAAATGCTCAGACTCTGCCTACCTAGACACCTCCCCAATTTATGGACAAGCGTCTCTTTCCTTCAAAGTCTTCACAGTTCCCAATACAATGTCTGTCAGCAAACATTTGTAGAATAAGTGCATACAATCTTATTCTGACATCTTTAATTTTTTCTAATGCCTTTTAAGTCATACTTTTTTTTAAAAAAAATAAATTGCTACTTTACTGCAAAATAGTTAAATAAGATGAACATAGCCTTATCTTTTAAAGTCAATTAGACATTAACAGAACTTTTGTCTTTTGTCTTTGTGGTGTGTGTGTGTGTGTGATGATTTACATAGTCTAGAAAGTTCCATTTTAGGGAAAGGATGCTAGTCTTTGTTGTCAACTGACACCCTTGGAAGAGGGAAACTCAACTGGGAAAACTGTCTCCAATATTTTGGCTAGTGGTCATATCTATGGGAGCCTTTTCTTGGTTAATGACTGATCTTGAAGGACCAGCAAGCCAGTAACAGCATTTCTTCATGGTTTCTGCCTCAAGCCTTTAGATTCCACCTTGGCTTTCCTCAATGATGGACTGACTGTAACCTGTAGGCCAAATAGACCCTTTCACCCCAAGTTGTTTTTGGTCAGTGTTTTATTACAGCAACAGAAAAGCAAACTAGGACAGATGCCTATAGTAAATCTTAAGTAGCCAGTGTCGACGGTGCAATCAATATGCCCCACATGTTCAGAGAGCAGAAATGCACAAGTCAGTATCTTAATCCTGGTGACACAGACAGACATAGAGGTTCATAATCATTTACTTTTTAGCTTATTAACGCATGATATGGAAGTAACTCCTATCAGTCTACAGTCCATTAAGGACTCATATATTTTTGTGGAGCTATAAATAAGAAATTGAGAGCTTGTATACTATTAGTATTGAAGTAAAACCGCATAGCATATACTTACAGAGACTTGAGTTTGGCGAGACAATCGAATTGATTTACTTGAATTTTCTGTATTGGGTTATACGAAATATTCCTGTTTTTTTTTTAAATTAAAAGAGAAGGAATAAGTTATTCCTAAACATTGCTTGGGCAAAGAGAATATATTTTTTGACTTTGAATGAATTTGAGACATTTATCAAAAAATATAGTACAACTCAAAATATGTTGGAAAATTTAAATGTAAGACCCGAGACCATAGAGGAAGACCTCCATGACACTGGCCTGCAAATGATTTCTTTTGGATGTGATTTCCAAAATACAGACAGTAAAAGTGACAAGAGCCACAGAGAACCACGTTAAACTCAAAAGCCTTTTCATACCATAAAAGAAGCCTACAACGTGTAAAAAATGATTGCAAAAGCACTCTCTCCATTTTTCTCTGTCTTCCTCCACTTCTTTGTTTTGTTCTAGGGACAGTAAGCACACACTCTACCACTGAGGCAGCTCCCTACCTCTGCACAGTGTACATCAGGAAATGGTGTAATAGCTAAAAGACAGAGGGAACTCAATGCGATAGTAAAAAAACAATCTGATTAAGAAACAGACAAAGAACCTGCGAGGACATTTCTCAAAAGAAGACACACAAGTGGCCAATATATATACAAAGCACTCTCAGAATTACCATTCATTAAAAATGCTAATTTATTTATTAGAGCCAGGGTGTAGCTAAGGATGACATTGAAACTCACTAGACTTGACTTTGACTTTTGGACTTCTTAACCTCAAAAACAGTGAGCCACATAAAATTCTATTGTTTATAATTTAGCCAGGCTGTAGTATTCTGGTATGGTAGCAGAAAATGGGCTAGATCAACAGCAGTGAAAAGAAAGATATTCTTTGTCATGGCATTGGAAACCTCAGTCCATATTAATGTCCATGTATTCATTTAAGGCATCAAAGGAGCCCAAATGGCAAGAGCGCAAGAAAGTAAACACCAACAAACCAAATAATCCAATTAAAAGTGGGGTACAGAGCTAAACGGAGAATTCTCAACAGATCATTATGGAATGGTGGAGAAATGCTCAAATAAATGTTCAACGTTCTTGGTCATCAGGGAAATGCAAATCAAAATGACTCTGAGATTCCATCTTCCACTCATCAGAATGGCTAAGATCAAAAACCCAAGTGACAACACATGCTGGAGAGGTTGTGGAGAAAGGGGAACCCTCCTCCATTGCTGGTGGGAATGTAAGCTTGTACAACCATGTTGGAAATCAATCTAGCAATTTCTCAGAAAATTAGGAGTAGTGCTACCTCAAGATCCAGTTATACCACTCGTAGGCATATATCCAAAATATGCTCAAGTATACAACAAGAACATTTGCTCAACTATGTTCATAGCAGCTTTATTTGTAATAGCTAGAATCTGGAAACAACCCAGATGTCCCTCAACAGAGGAATGGATACAGAAGTTGTGGTACATTTACACAATGGAATACTATTCAGCTATTCAAAACAAGGACATCATGAAATTTGCAGGCAAATGGATGGAACTAGAAAAGATCATCCTGAGTGAGGCAAAAGCAGTCTTGAAAAAAGGAACAACAAAGTTAGGGCTTGCACAGACCAAATAAGTGCAGTGTCATATGATACAGTGTGTGTTTCAGCTCTCAGCCAGCCATAGAAGCTCAAGAATACAAAACTGATGCTCTGCAATGCATTGGATCCTAAGTTACAATAGTTGATAGGGTAAGTGAATTAAATGACCTTTAAAAGGAACAGTTCTGCTTTATGATGCCTTCAGTAGGTATATATAAGTTTGCTGTGTGTTGAGAAGGAGCATAGAACCAGAATAACTTAACAGACACCCAGACAGGAATCTGTGCACTTGTGTTCATAGTAGCATCGTTCCTAGCCAAAAGCTGGAAGCAGCCCAAGTGTCCACCCACTGGAGGATGATTCTACACAGTGGATGGGATTTTAGTATCAGCCCTACATCCAACGGAGTTCTGACACATGCCACAATATTGATGCATCTTGTGGGCATGGTGAGAGAAGTAAGGCAGTCACAAAATGGTGACTATGACCTGGAGAGAGCAAGTAGGATGGTGGTTGCCAGGGCTGGGCAGGAGTGTGGAGTTAGAGCTTGATGGTCCCAGGGTTTCAGCTTTGGACTAAACAACCGTGGAGGTGGATGTTGGTGAGAGCTGAGCAACGATATGGAAGATTCCAATGTAACAGAAGGGCAGCTCAATGCTGTGTCTATTTTACCACAATTAGAAAACAAGATAAAGAAACCAAGTGGGAACTTAATGTCTTACAATTGTGAGAGCTCCTTCAGATCCTTGAATACGTTCGGTGGAAGACTTTCAATCTTATTACTTCCTAAATCCCTAGGGAAACAATTGCAAGCATGTCATATTGTTTTCCAGAGACTTCATTCACTGGTAGAAAGTCCATTAAAAAAAAAAAAACATTTACAACTGTCCAATAGTGCCATTGCTGAGTTGGATTAAATACCAAAAGGTGTCTCCTTGGTGTGGGGATTTGAACTCACAGACCTTTTCCTGCTCAGCATGTGTCCTACACCTGAGCGCTGCCTCCAGGCCCATAAAGTCAAGAAGGTTTAAAAGAGGGAGCGAAATAGGGAGGCATAAAAATACTTTAACCTGAATCAGGCATGGTAGTATACACCTATAATCCCAATATGTGGAAGTAGAGGCAGGGGGATTAGAAGCTCATGGACATCCCCAGCTACACAGTGTGTTCAAAGCCAGCATCGACCTAAAAAGCTGCTCCCTCATCTTTTAAAAGTTCTACTCCATATTTTCTTGAAGACAGATCATTGATGGTATTTAATGTGGCTTTGACAGACTAAAATTTCCATTTACTGTATGCATGATGTCCCTTCATCCTTACTCTTCCCTCTTTTTCCTTTTATTTATGACTTGATTTGAAGCCCTGATTTTTCTTTTGTCCAGGTTTTTTAAGATTACCTCAAAGTATGTCATTTGGGGTTCAAGTTTCTTTCAGAGAGAAGCTCAGGCTCATATTCTCCTGGGCAGGACATATATGTGCAGAGGGGATGGCTAACATGACCTCTCCTCAGGTATAAGGGCCTTTCCGAAGCACAGGCTCTGACCCTTCAATGTGAGAAAGGCTCCAGCTTCTTTTAAAGAAGGAAAAGTCCCAGTGAGCTTGATTTATAAGATTGTGAGCTACAGAGGAAAACATAACTTCTCCTACCCCCTCCAGGAGGACAGGCAGGAGGAAAGACGTGGTCACGTGTCAGTTGCTTAACCAATTTTGATGATGATGATGATGATTTTGGTTTTTTGAGACAAGGTTTCTCTGTATAGCCTTGGCTGTTCTGGAACTCATTATATGTGTCTGTGTGTGGCTTAGTGCACGAGAGTGAGTACAAACGCTCGCAGCGGTCAGCGTGTCAGATCCCCTCTCTCTTCCTCTACTGTGAATGGGAATCTTATCCACGGCAGTGCTTTATTTCCTTATGGGTCCAGGCTCACGTCAGCTCCAGGGGAACGGTGTCTGTCAGTCTTGTGGTTTCTTCCACTGAACGCTCTGGGAAATGTAAGGGCAGATAGGCTGCCTCCTTGGAGCAAATGAAATTGAACAGTGTAGGTTGTGTTTCATCTATTAACTTTACCCTGGTCTTATTCTTAGTCTGAAGCTGCGTTTCCTTTATCTAACTTACGTCAATTATTTATTTTATACTTTATTTTGCATTTGCTTTTGTAAGCTGTCTGAATTGTTTTATGACCATGGCGCATATAAGTACTGTTTGGAAAGAGAAAATTCATATTTCTTAAATATATAACTAATATGAAGTAAAACTGGAAAAAGGGAATCTTAATACCCATTTAGTTATACTTACAATTCATCTAGTTTCTGGAGGTGTGTAAATGCATGTTCACTTAAGTGATTAATTTTGTTTTTCCTCATTACCCTGAAAGTAAGGAGAAAAGTCCATGTTAACACGTTGACATAATTATAACATGTGTTACCAACTGTAACTCCTGAAATATATCATAAACGTCATGAATATAGAGTGCATTTTTATTTCAGGAAATTTTGAATAGCACGGTTGATTATCTAGTTTATTTATTTGGAAACCACAGTCTCAACCATGCAGCCCTGGATGGCTTCAAACCCATGATCTTTCTGCATAAGATTCTTGGGGCTGCAACTACAGGCATGTGCCACCAAGCCTGGCTTTAGTTTGTTAGTTATTAAATTCTTTAAATCTTTAACAGAGAAATAAAAAAATATGATTAAAATTTGTAATTGGAGGAGCCTCTTCCGAACAAAAACTGAGTATCTGGCAGTTATGAGCACAGGAATTGCTTTAGAGTTACCTCCTAAGTCTGTGAAGTGTGTCTACCTAACAAAAGGCTCCGTGCACTGCAGAGCGCTTACTTGCTAGTGCATGGAATTAGGATGGAGCTGCCTAATTTTTTGGTCTGAGTGACCAACTCAACCTCTCATTAGTTTTTCAGAATATGAGTATTTAGAAAATAATATGAACCAGAGTATAGCGTATAGCACTTGCTCTTGACTGTGTGTGTGTGTGTGTGTGTGTGTGTGTGTGTGTGTGTGTGTGTGTGATGAGGGTTGAATCTAAACCTCACACATGTTGAGCACTTGCTGTACTGCTGATCCACACCCTAATTGCATTTTCACAGGTCTCTGTGTTATCCATCAGCATAAATGACGAATTTGGGAAATTTTAAAGGGCTTCCAATTGTTTTTGAATCTACTCTTTTTTTTTTTTTATAGCTCAGCATATAAGATAATGGGACTCATTAGCTTATATGATATATAAGATATATACATATATGCCATAATACTTAATTTTATTTATACCTTGACTGCTCTGTCCTCCTCCATATTACGTGCTTCACTCCTTCTGGTTCCTTTCCTTTACCCACGTGGTCCTTTCTTTTGCTTTGATATCACATGTGTGCTATTACTATCTTTCCCCATCCCCTGAAGATCCCTTCCTCCTTCTCATAGTCCACTTTCTACTTTCATAGCACTCACACACCCTCACACACACATACACACATACACACACACTTCACAAATGCAAATAAGATTCTATTTAGGAGAAAAAACACATAGTATTTGTCTTTATGAATCTGGCTTTTTTCACTTAACATAATATCCCATTGAATTAATTTTTCTCACAAATGCCACAATTGCTAGATAAAATTCCATATGTATCATGTTCTTTAACCATTTATCTAGATGGATATGTAGGCTTTTCCCACTAGCTACTGTGACAACTACAGCGATAAACATGGATGTGCAAGTATCTTTGTGTCTACTTAAGAGTCTTTTTGGAATAAATTCGCAAGCCATGTGTCTGGGTCATATGGTAGTTCTATTTTCAGACTGTTGAGGGATCTTCATCCTGACTCTACAGTGACTATATCATTGTATAATCCCACCAAAAGTACATAGCATTCCTCTTGCTCACATTCCTACCAGAATTTGTGACCGTTAATTTATTTGGTTAAAATGTTTTATTTATATGCATGTGTGGGTGTCTCTTGTATTAGTATGTGAATGGGCATGTGAATACCTGTAGAGGCTGGGAGAGTGACCGGGATGGCCTGAAGCTGGACTTACAGGTGGTTGTGAGCTGCCCCATAAAGATGCTGGTAACCAGAACTCAAGTCCTCTGCAAGCGCAATGTTCTGCTCAGCCGTATCTGCAAACTGCTTTGTAGTTTGTTTGTTTGTTTTGGACATCTTGACCATAATATGTTGTGGAGAGGTTTTTCTCTGTTCATGCCTGTTTGGACTTTTAAATGACAATTGTTTTTGGATGTCCATTCTTGGTCTAGATTTGCTATAATTTTATGGAATAGATTGACTATGCAATTAGTTATTGTCAGCTTCTTTTTCTATCCTGTGGATTCTTAGGTTTGGGCTCTTGATTATATCCCAGAGTTCTTGGACATTGTGGCTGTGCTGACTATTTTTTCTTATCGTTATTTAAATGTAATATTTCCTGATCTTGTCCTCTATACCCAGAAGTTTTTGTTTGTTTGTTTTCATTTTTGTTTTGCTTGGTCAAGTTCCTGGTGATGCTTCTGCAGAGTTATATTGATTCACTGAGTTTTTTGGGTCTAACATTTCTATTTGTTCTTTTTGAAAAAAATCTTAATTTCTTTTGCTGAGGTTTTCTTTCATACGTTTATGTTTTTCTATACAGTGTTAACTTTCTCATCCTATACCACGTTTTTTCCCCTCTGTTCTGATGACTTTCCTCTCTAAATCCTAGATTTAATTCATCTGCTTGTTTCTACCCTCTGTGAGGTCACTGAGAACTTTTACTACCAAGCCCTTGAAATGGTCACCTGATGTTTTGTGCATTTTTATATCTTTGATTCAGTAGAGTTTTGGTATTGGAGAAGTCATTGCTTTTCAATCTTTCTTTTGTTTCTGTGATGTGATTTGTGCTTTTGTAGCTTTGGGCAACTCTCCTAGTTTTATTAGAAAATTTTCTCATTGTTCAGCTTACTCTTGAGGGTTCTAACCTCAGTACAACAACTTTTTATCAGCAATAACATCAATGTGTATAAGAATCAACTGAAAATCAGTTAACGACCACTAGTTCCTACCAGGAGGAACCCAAATGAGTTTTTTTTTTTTCCATATAGAAGTTTAAAAGTCAATGGCAATACCAAATGGTCTTTCTTGGAACGTACGTATAGGTGACTGAATAGGTGATAGTCAGGAGCAGGTTATGTATTTATATTTAGCAGGATCTATCTATCTATCTATCTATCTATCTATCTATCTATCTATCTATCTATCTATCTATGTCTGGCTGGCCTGGAAATCACTGTGTACACCAGGCTAGCCTCAGACTCATTGAGACATGCCTCTGGAGTGCTATGATTAAAAGTATTGACCTGTTTATTTTTATTTTTATTTTATTCTTGAGATCAGAGTTAGATCATTTCTCCCTTCCATTTCTATCCTCATATCCTTTCTTGATCTATTTCAAATTAATAGATCTTTTTTCAGTGACTGGCAAAGGAGCCACACTTTACTGCCCCTGAACGTACCCATGCTGGATTCTGCCCACATAAAGGATTCATTTGCGTTGTAAAGAGAGTCAACAATACTTAAAAAAAAACATAGTACTTACAAAACAGTTAAATTATTGCAGGAAATAAAAGTCAAATTTCTTAAACCATGGATACGGTTGCCTTCAAAGTCCCTAGAATATAAAAATAAAATGCAATCAAATTAAATTCATAGAGAGAAATAAATTGGCTAAGAATTACTTGTTATCTAATAAAATGTCTTTTCTTCACATTTGTTTCCAGTCATTTGTATAGCAGCTGAATTTACATATACAGCATATCTATGCTATAAACATGTAGTATTATTGTCTGTCTTCTATATCAACAGTAAAAATGATGTGAGGTCCTAGGTTCAGTTCCCAGTACCAAGGAGTAAAAATGTTTTGAGTAACATCTTTATCATGTACTAACAATGACATGGATATTATTATTCCAAAAAATTAAAAAAAAACAGTTCTTGTGGAAAATATCCGATTTATTAACGGTTGTTTAGTAGTCAAGCATACTTAACAGTTGTCCAGAGGTGTAAGGTGTTTCCATAAGCAGGAACGAAGTTAGAGGATCTGATTAGGCTGCAGAGGCTATGGCTATGCAGACAACATACATTCACTTATTTATCTTAACAATTTAAAATTTTGCCAGGCAGTGGTGACACACGTCTTTAATCCCAGCACTAGAGAGGCACAGGCAGGTGATCTCTGAGTTTGAGGCCAGCCTGGTCTACAGAGTGACCAGAACAGCCAGAGCTGCATAGAGAAAGCTTGTCTTTAAAAACTAATAATAATAATAATAATTTTAATTATTACGCCATCTCCCTTTCCTTTTCTTCCTATAATCTCTTCTATCCTTCCTTACTTCTCAAATTGCTGTTCTCTTTATTATTATTATTATTATTCCTACATACACACATATCTATAAATGAATATATAAGTCCAACCTGCTGAGTCTGTGTAGTGTTGTTTGTAGGTGTATGATTAGACCTGACCACTTGGTATTGGTAACCAGTTAGGTGTTCGTCACCGGGGAAGACTGCTTCTCCCTCTCAGAAGTCATTAGTTGCCTGTACTTCTTTTTCTAGGGTGGGGCCCGGTGAGGTTTCCCCCTAAGACTTCATGTGTGTATTAGTGCTATCATTGCTCAACTGTTGCCTAGGTGGCCAGAAGGCTGTGTGCCCCTCCCCCCACTCGTGATATAGTGCCATTGCTGCAGAAGTTGTGTTGCAGATGTATCTATAGGAGCTGGGCATACCACGATCAGTTGTTTTCTGCAGTTGTGGTTTTCTGGAGACAAAGGTTTCCAGAAGACAGTATTTATTTCCTGTCTTCCTAACTTTAATAGTGCTAGAAAAGGTTCCCAACAGCCTGCCACTGCCAGGAGCCACCGTATGTGGCTTTTCGGTCTGTCATACTGGCTGCCCTTGTTCTCCACCTCAAGCTGGGGGGCTGCCGACACGTCCCCCTTGCATGCTTGTGCTGCACAGAGCTGATGTCACTAGAATTCTAGACACAGCATCAAAAACTTACCTTACCCTCCCACTGTTGAGGGTCAAATGCAAGGCTTTGCACACGCAGGACTTAGTGCTCTGCTCTGAGCTACATCCCCAGCTGCAGCTGTCCTCACATCGCCCTTCTTCCTCGACCTCAGCAGGAGGTGTAAGGTAGACGCTTGCAGAGCAGAACACACTGGCTTCGTTTAGGAGCATACTGCCCTGAACACTGCCCTTACTGAGGTCTGAGAGCATCACACAGTCACTCTAACGGTTGCCAGGCGGCATGAAGTTACTCAGAAGCAACAGTGCTTCATGCAGGATAGAAGTGTGGGAGAGTTAGGAAAACCTTCAAGGAAACCCCAGAAAGCACCAGAGAAAAGCCAGCATCCCGCCAACACCCGGGGCACTGTCAGCATTGCTTTGGAAACTGCACTGAAGCTGACAGTGATAGAGCAAAATCTATCCTGGGCATGTGGAGCTGGTTCAACATGCAAAAATCCATCAACATAAGCCATCATATAAACAAATCGAAAGAAAAAAACCCACATAATCATCTCATTAGATGCCAACAACAACAACAACAAAACAAAACAAAAAAAAACATTTGACAAAATCCAACATCCCTTCATGAGAAAAGTCTTGGAAAGATCAGGGATACAAGGCACATACCTAAACATAGTAAAGGCAATGTTCAGCAAGCTTAGTGCCAACATCAAATTAAATAGAGAGAAGCTTGTAGCAGCACCACTGAAATCAGGAATAAGACAAGGCTGCCCACTCTCTCTACAACATAGTACTCTCTTCAACATAGTACTGGAAGTCCTAGCCAGAACAATGAGACAACCAAAGGAGAACAGGAGATAAAAACTGGAAAGGAAGAAGTCAAAGTGTCGATATTAAGAGATGATATGATCGTATACATGAGTGAGCCTTAAAATTCTACCAGAGAATTCCTACAGCTAATAAACACCTTTAGCAAAGTGACTCTATCCACAATTAACTAAAAAAAAAAAAATCAGTAGCCCTCCTGTGTACAAATGACAAACTGGCTGTGAAAGAAAGTAGGGAAACAACACCCTTCACAATACCCACATACTATAAAATAGCTGGATGAGACTCTAACCAAGCAAGCCATAGACCTGTATGACAACAATGGCAAGTCTCTGAAGAAAGAAACAGAAGAAGATTTTAGAAGATGGGAAGATCTCCTATGCTCATGGCTTGGTAGAAGTAACATAGTAAAAGTGGTCATTTTACCAAAAGCAACGTACAGATTCAGTGCAATTCCCATCAAAATATCAACACGATCTTCACAGACCTGCAAGAACCATTCTCAATGTCATAAGAAAAAACAAAAAACCCAGAATAGCAAACCCAGAATAGCAAACCCAGAATAGCAAACCCAGAATAGCAAACCCAGAATAGCAAACCCAGAATAGCAAACCCAGAATAGCAAAACCCAAACAATTCTATAGAATGAAGGATGATCAGGAATTTATGATCTAAATATTGAGTACATTGAAGAAGTTGTATTTATGGTGGAGAGTAACACAGGAGGAACACATTTCAAGTCAGCCGTAGGGTGAAGAGCAGTCGCCCTTCTGGAGGAAGTTTTGGTTCTAGGAAAGCGGCTGCTAAATGCTTAGGGTACTGTTTCTTTACTCTTGCCTTGGTTCGAGCTTTTGGTCTGTTCTCAGGGTCAGACATGTTCCTTTTATTTTATTGCTAATGGTTACTCATGAACCTACCACCAGGTGGCCGTGCTCCGTGCCCTATCAAAGTATTCTCGTTGCCTGCAGCAGTTTCCACCTGTAATCTCAGCACCGAGGAGCCTGGGGAAGGTGGAGTCCAGCCAGTGGTTCAAGGACAGCCTGGGCTACATAATGAACCCCACTTCTCCCCCATCTTTTTAAAAAGTCTCAATTCACATTTTTCTTTTTCGGGTGCTTGGGATTCAACCCAGGACCCTTTGCCGGAAGTAAGCCCTCAGCCATCATGCTATGGACCAGCACAGTTTTGATCGTTGATTGCTTCTGTAAGAACTGCTTGGTCCTATTTAATTACTAAGTCAGAATTGCAAGGGCTGTTAGAATATCCTCTTGAACCAACCCCAATCACACGGAAGGCCATTAAGTCAATGTGCTCTTTCTCTTTACGGCTTTATGGCTTTCTTTTTATGTCCACTAGGTACAGAAAGAGCCGTTCTGTGACTCGAAGGCGCCTCCGGACTCAGAGGCGGCTTGTGAACTGCTCGTTCCCGCCAGGGGTTCTGAACCAGCACGTGCTAAACCTGTCTCCTTTCTTGCCCTTTCCCCTTGTGTTACAATAAGGTTGACAGTTGTCACACCCTACACACAAGAACAGTGTTTCTCATTATCTTTGCTGTAAGCCTGGATATGAAACGATCAGTTTCTGAAAATTTCCAAAACAAGAGGTAAATGGGGAGTTTTCCTGGTTCTGGCAGGCAGTTTGTTGATTAAACTTTTAAATAGTAATTTTGGTTGTAAGACACGGGGGAGTCGTACATTACTGAGGAAGGTACTCGAGTGAGGCACGGAGACCAGTGTCGAAGCAAACAGCAAGAGGTTTATTGAAACCAGCATGTTTCGGTCTCCTGCACGATAAGAGACGCTACCCAAGGAACAATAGCTTAGGGTTTTTATAGGCAACTTTGGAAATAGCAACAGGGCAATTTTTTATTGGTGGGTATTCTGGGTCTAGCTATGTGCTTTGGGCCAGGTTACTCAGGGTTAAGCTGCCCACTCTGCAGTTTCTCCAAGGATCGCCTGCCCCCACCTGTGTGCTTGGGGGCTTTTCCAGCAGTGGTCTGTGTGAATGTGCCAAGGACTGCCTGCATCTATGTCCTTGGGGTTTTTCCAGCAACTGTCTGACTGTCTGTGAGGTTTGAGTCCTGGGGCGGGGGGTGTGTGGGGGGTGTGGAGAGGCAGAGGGAAGAGGGTGTACTCTGCACTCAGCAGTTAGGGGAAAGATCCCAGTTTCCCCAGTTTTCTTGGTTATTCTCAAGCTAGAGCTCATCACGGTCATTTCTTAAAAACAAACAAACTAAATAAAAGTACCAAAACTAGCCAAGCAAACAAATAAGCAAACAAAACCCTATAGTTTTTTTGTTTTTGTTTTTTGTTTTTTCTATCAGGGCCTCACTCTGTACCCCAGGCTGCCTTGAACTTGTGGTGTTCCTCCTTCCTCAGCCTCTTGCTTTAGCCTCCTAAGATTATAGGCGGGAGCCACCACACCAGGCCAAACCCTATATTCTGAGCGGGCAAATTTGCTGGCTTATTGCACTCTTACTTGTGGAGTGAAACCTATGGCTATGCAAAGCCACTGAGCCCACACATTACACAGAACACACAAGGGGCCCTTTCAGAACATGCCACTGCCCCATTCTGTCATGAGTAGTGCAAAGCAGCACATTCTCGCCACTCAGAGTTCAGGGATAAAACTAAAAACCGCTTAGCTTCTGCATCAGCTTAATAGGAGACTGGCTTGACAGGAGAAGAGCAAGTGTGACTGACCATGTGACGTCACTTCCGCCCTCCTTCTTCCTGGTTCCAAAACATTGTTCTCTTTCAGGTATTGCACTTTGTTGAAAGTTTAGAGAAGTTAGTCAATGAGGGTGTTCAATATAGAAATGCAATAATAAAATAATGCTAGGAAACTTGGTGCATCAGCTACCTGGCACAGAAGACCCTGGGTGTCCAAAATGAGTTAGTCAAATTCAGAAAATGTAGCAGAGAGAGAGAGAATGAAAGAGAGAGAGAGACTGACTTACAGCCAGTGCAGCCGGGGCATGTGCTGACAGAGGGGCTTGTCAGGCAAATGGGTGAGGACATTATTCATCAGCACTCTAAAAAAGGAAAGAAATCACGAAAATCACGTTTTCTGGTCCTTTTCTGTCTCTAGGCAAACACAGTGTCATCGTTACTGCTCAGGACCCGTGAGAACCTCGCGCTACCAGTCTTCCCCACCATCTTCTCTCTGCACGCCCTGCGCCCTGCGGCATGGAACCGCTCTGGTGGCAAGAACACTCCCATGCACGAGTTCTCCCGCAGGGAACAGCAATGCTAGTCTCTGAACAAAAGCTGGTGCCTGTCAGCAGCAGGCCGGGCAAAGGAGCCGACCTCGGCAGCAGGCTTCTCCCTTGCTGAGGCTGCTGCGTGGGAGAGACATGCTTCAGAATACTTGCGCACCGAAGAACGGTGACCCTGTGCTCAGTTTTGGTGGGCCGGCAGAGCATCATCACAAAACGGGCAGACCTGTAAGTAGCCTTAGGAATTTGGTCAAGGAGGTTGTTAGTAGAGAAAGCTTTTTTTTAAGGCTCGAATAATTACAAACGTAATACTACTCTGCTTAAAGTTTTAATTTTTTACTCCTGTCTCTTCAGTTGGAATGCTTCAAATTTTCTATTACATTGATTTACTTATTTATTGGTGTGTGTGTGTGTGTGTGTGTGTGTGTGTGTGTGTGTATGTGTGGTGGTTTGAATAGGAATGTCCCCAAGTGCTTGAATGCTTGACCCATAGTTAGGGGCCCTACTAGGGAGTGTGACCTCGTTGGAGGAAGTGTGTCACAATGGGGGAGGGCTTTGTGGTCAACTCAAGCCAGCTCTCAGTCTGCCGCCTGTAGATCAAGATGTAGAACTCTCAGCTACCACCTGTCTGCCTGCATGCCGCCATGCTCCCCGCCATAAATAGTGGACTAAACCTCCGACACTGTGAGCCAGCCCCATTAAATGTTCTCTTTTATAAGAGTTGCTGTGGTCATGGTGTCTCTTCACAACAGAATGCAACAGTTTGTGTGTAGAGTTGACAGCTTGCAGGAGTCCACCTTTCTACCATGGAGGTCCTGGGGCTTGAACTCTGATAGTCAGGCTTGGTGGCAAGCACCTCTGTCTCACCTACCTGTTTGTTTTAATTGGGTACTTACAAGAGAATAAGAGAATGTAGTCCGTAAAATGTGAGTGGGGAAATTCGACTGAGGTGGTTGTCTTCAATTATCCTGTCCATAAGAACAGAGCAGAGTTATGTGTGTATGCTTGGAACATTAAAACCGATACAAGGCAACACCGCACAATGAAACATACAGCCATTCCAGCCTGTGGAGATCTTCAAAAACTCCTGGCTTCAGGAAGGTTATTCTGTTGTGGCTGAGGTACCTGGAAAGGAGACACAACAGCAGTGAGTTTATTGTTTTTGTTGTTTTACAAGAAGGAACGTAGCGACGGCCATCGCCCTGTTTCCTATACCATGCTCACCGTGCCACTTCCTGCCTTTGAACTGTCAAGGGCCTTTATCATTTATTATGTCATTTCTAGCTTTTAATTTCTCATAGTTAGCTAGTGAATCGGCCTACTTTTTGAATGACCTACCCTGCTGTCATCAGCTAGGTATCAAGCTGTGGTCATGGGTCAAAGGCTTTGTCCCCAGGGGATCTAATGGTCTAATGGTAACATTGCCCCCTTACCTCTCTGTCCTTTTATTCTCTCATATCTAATGTCAGGGAGAAATGAAAGGGAGGAAAAAGGGCAGAGAAGGGTGGAAGAAAAGGGAACCCACAAAGTGGCAAATGCCAGCTACACAGCTTGGGTGAAGACATGGTCTTCACAAAGCAAAGGACTGGCAGGAGCTCGTGTAGGCAGAGGAAATAGAGCACAAGAGCACTGACTACAAGAGAGTAAGACACTGAGGGGTTATGAGGGAATTCAGTGCACCTCATCAGGACAGGACCCTGAGGTGAACTCAGGAGCCGGGAGAGTCTGTGCATGGTTTAGTAATGAGTTTGAGCCTCTGGGCCTGCCCACCTTCACCTCTCTCCCTGAAAAACAAGCCATTGCTGTTACATTGTATTGATCGCCGTTTGCCTTCTCTGTTTGTAGTTCAGTCTCTTTTTGCATTGAGGCTGTTATTAATGTTTGGTTTCTGCTTCTTCTATTCACTGTGAACAGTGAGGCCCTGGGCGAACAATTGCTTCCACTGAGCTCCAGCTCCTTCATTTCTAAAATGTGCATAGTATCCTCCCTCATAGGGCTGTAGTCACATGTGAGACAGGTCGTGCTGTCTACACTCTGCATATGTGCTTAGAACACTGTTTCTGCTCACATCTCTGCCTAGGATTCATTTGCAAGCACTTGTTTAAGTTCCACTTGCCCAGGTAAATGGAACACCTCTCCATTATTTTCCTTTCGAGAGGCTTTTTTTCAGCCTCATCTAGGCAAGGCTGGCCGCCAACTTCTGAGACTTGCTTTGAACTTCTGATCCACCTCTGCCTGCCTCCCAAGTGCAGGGACGGCAGGAGTGTACCACCATACCTGGCTTTAAGTGGTGGTGGGGGTCAAAACCAGGGCTTTGTGTATGCTAGGCGAGCACTCTAGCACTTGCAGCTTCCCATTAAAAAAGTTTTTCTCCTTTTCTTTGATTTTTCTCATACCTTGCAGCTGACACCGGCACAGATTCTTCTGCCAGGAAACTGCCTTTTTTGGTCAGGTTTGACTTTCACTCATTTGTCCCCTATGTTACACCACTTCCTTCTCTGCAGGCCTGGGTGCAGGCAGGCAGGGAAGGACTAAGAAATAGCTTTAGCACATCTACGAACACCTCAGGGCTCTCTCAGGAATCAGTGCCTATCCCTTCAAGTACAAGGCTATTGATCCATCCTGGCACCTCACGCACATCTGTACGGCCCAGTCCTCTTCATTTCTCAGAGCCACTCCACGTTGCTCTGGACTAGAAATAATGACTTCTCACAGAGTACCGGTGCCATTGAACTTGGCCGTCAGCTTGATTGGCTTGAGAAGCAGGTAGGAGAGAAGTAAAATATACTGTCTGTGAAGGGTCTTCCACAGAGGATTAACTACAGGTTAGTGGAGACTTCCCAGAGATGAGGTCACACCATGCAGCTCGCAGTGATGGACTTCTGAAACCACACACCATGATGAATATCCCTCCTTTTAAGTTGCTTCTGTCAGGTGTCTGTGACAGTGAGCAAAGTGCAACCGGCTGATGGCAGAGCTGGCGTGAGCGGCACAGGTTTCGCTTTTAGTACTGATACCGTGGCATTGCTTTCTCTTTGGAGAGTGAGAGGCTTGATTGGTGCAGGATATTTGTGGTATTTGTGGTGTGGCTCAGCCCTAGCACACACCTTTACTTTAATGCAAGAGCTTTCTGTAAACAGTTTAAATAAAGTTAACCCTAGGTCAAGCGGTGGATCAAACAACCAGATTGACAGGAAGTGAATATGGGAAAAATGATAGAGAATGAGAGGAAGTCCGGAGGATGGATAGAGAGACGCACTAAAAGTAGAAAGGAGGGGCATTGACTTGAAGGGAATTTAGGACAGTGTGAGCTGAGTAGGAAGGAATTTTTCCTTCTGGGATGTCAGCTGAGTAGAAAGGTCATCTGGGTGTTTTCTCTGTCTCTCTGAGTTAGCAGGTCTTCACCTCAGCATCTGACTCCTGTGTTTTTGATGGTAAAATCAAATGTTTGGGATTTTGTTTTTAAAAAAACAACACTTCATGGCCTTGAGAGCAGCTCAGAGAGCCCCAAGTTTCTGGGGTAGCAAGCAGCTCCTTGAAGACAGCATGTCTGACCCACTGTTCTATGTCCCAGAAATGTCTGCTTGAAGACTTGCCCAATGAAAGATGAAATGAACACTTCTATGCATGAATAAAGGCATATACTTAGTGATAGCTAAGAAAAGAAGAGATAATGTGGAATCGCTAACAGTCACACAATAGTCCAAGGGACAAATGAGAAGAGATGGAACTTGTGAAACACCTTTTCTAGCTCTGTTCTGACTTTCAAGAATGTCTCCCATAGCTCAATCATGAAACCCAGCTGATGCTGTCCAGAAAGTTTCAAATACACCCATGGAGAGGAAAGTGGAACCAGGTGAGAATGAGCACGATGCTACTGAGACAAGGGCAGTGGGCTCAGAATGAATGGAAGGGGGAGGGGCTCAGGTGACAAGAGTAGATGTCCAAACCTGTGAGCTTCCATTTGTTTCAGTTGCTGGGTGTTCTTGACTCGTTCTCACCATTTGCTGCTACAGACCATAAACATGGTAGAAACAGATTTGTTGGGTGAAGAAAAAGAATGGGATAGGATAAAATAGAAATAGACAGGATTGGTGAGCAGGCTCAGCAGGTCAATGTGTCTGCTTCAAAACCTGGTGACCTGAGTTTAACCTTCAGGACCATACATTAGAAAGTGAAAACGGAAATGGTTCTTAGACCTCCACACTTGCCCTGCCGGTGCACCATCTCCTCTGCCCCCGTAAGAATATAATAAAAACTGAAAAGAAGAAAACCCAGCTCAACCGGAAAGAATGATCATGCAGGGATCGTTTATTCACCCGAGCTTCAGATATGTTCGCCTGTGGTGGCTGCTTGGTAAGGATGTGGCTGAGTGCAGCGGAACTTTGAAAATCTATTAAAAAAAAGTTTTCCATGGGCTGGAGAGATGGCTCAGTGGTTAGGAGCATTTGCTGCTCTTCCAGAGGACCTGGTTTTGAGGCTCTGCATCTCCATGGCAGTTCACAACCCTGCCTGTAACTCCAATCTAGGGGATCTGATACTCTTTTCTGGCATTCTCAGGTACTGAGTACACTTGGTACACAAAAAGACATACAAACAAAAATATCCATATGCATAAAACTTAAAAGGCAAAAAAGTGACTTTCCTTTTCCTTTCTCTTAAGTACCACGAAACACAGCCTCACAACCATTAGTATCAAAACAAACCCCTCAAGTCAGGAAAGAATGAGTGTGGGCGAAGGTGAGGGTGGGAGACTAAAATGGTGCATCCTCTAAGAAAGGGATGTAGAAGATACTGTTATAAAGGAGACATTGGAGCAGGAGACATGAAGGAGACATGAAGGGGTGGAGATGGAGAAGGGTAGGAGTAGATTTCAAGTTACAGGAGGGAGTGTGGGGAGGAGTAACTAACACTAAAGCCATTTTGAAAACCCACGTGGAAATGTATACTGTAGGAACTTTCAAAGATGTATACATGAGAATTTGAATGGAGTTACCGTATGATAGAGGAAGACAATACCCCAACTATAAATCAAGCTCCTTCCCCCCCCCCCACGCATCCCTTGTGCCACAGATGAGTTACATCTTGGGGGGACTTTGGCCACAGAGATTCCATAGACATCACAAACACCACAGGCTGTTGGCAATGCTAATACTTAGCCTCCACAACTTGACACGAAGACCCTATCGCTGAAGATATCACATTAATTGCATAGAACACGGAGACATCTAGCTGGTACACAACTGGAAATTTCACCCCTACTGGCTGGCATTCATAGTGTGAGAAGTTTCTACACATGCTATGGAAAGAGAAAATAGTCCTCAATCTCACTCAGCTATGAACCTCGACAGCTGTGATAACAACCTTACTTTGAGATAGTCCCTTTGAAGCAGTAATGGCACAAATCTTAGGGAAGCAGCCAGTCATTTTTTTTTTTTGATTGGATTTAAGGCCCACTCCATGAGAAGCGACCCCACACTTGATACCATTAGTGAGGCTGAGAACCTGAGATGAGGTAGCTGATGGGCCTGTGAGAAAACCTACTACAGTTACTCCGCTAAATAAACCTAGCAGTGCAACGACCCCAATGAGGTGCTATACCCACAGATCGGTGCCTGCTCATCCCTCATCAGAGAAGCGTCTTGCAGGGGATGTAGATCCAAAGGTCTACAACTAGACAGTGTGCAGAGAGTGGGAGACTCTGGAACACTCCGCTCTGACTGGGTTGCTCTGGGGTCTACATGGAAGAGGGGGTGACAAGACTGCAGGAGCCAGAGGTGGAGGCTGATTTTGAGAGAACAGCAGGCACAAGATCTGCACAAGTGCACGCCAGACAAAATCTCAGCATGCGGGAGTGGACATGGGCACCCAGCCTCACCGCTGGCCAAGAAGCTATTTGAAATTGATGCCTGCTGGCAAAAGGAAAAATCAGTCTTCTTCAGTGGAGTGACACTGGGTACACGAGCCACACTTCAGGGCAGCCCGCACGTCAGCAGTAGCTGGCAAACACTAATTGGACTTCGTGTTTTTTATTCTTTCTCTTTTTTTTAAGACTGAGAAAGAACAGGAAGTTTGGGAGGGTAAAGAACTAAAACAAGTGACGTGGCTGCAGAAGTACGGTAGTTTCCAAAAGGAAAAAAAAAAAAAAAGTAGGATCAGCACATGAACAGCAAGTATACTTCCTGGCTTAGCACACCCAGTTGAACTGAACCCAGGAACTCAGACAGATGTGCAGCCTGGATAATAGCTGTGTTATCTCAACAGGAAAAGATGGAAATCCTCAAGTGCCGATGGACAGACGGCTAAGTAAATGGAATATGGTGTGTGTATATATATATATATATATATATATATATATATATATATATATACACACACACACACACACACACACACACACACACACGATGGAATATTACACAGCTTTGAAAAAGTAAATTCTGATACACACTACAAGGAGGAACGCCAAAGTGAAACATGAGAAAAAGCAGATTCCACAGTCCAAAAGCTTTGCTCTTTTAACTTTACCAAATGGTAAGCATGTATAAGGCAGTAGTAAACATTGTAAAAGAACTCAGTCCTGGTGTGCATGACTTTAATCCCAGCTCTTAGGAGGCAGGCAAATCACTGTGAGTTCAAGGCCACCCTGGTCTACATAATGAGTTCCAAGTGAGGCAGATACATAGTGAAACTCTGTCTCAAAAACTTGTGAACATACATCTGTGGGGTTGGGGTGATCCCCAGTGTGTGCTTAGCTGCACAAGATGCAGCTTTCGCCCGCAGCATGAAAAGAAGAACAAGCAGAATCCTCTGGAAAGTGTGAACCCCCTTTCTTCTCTACATGGCTTGGTCTCTCACTTTGACTAAGTTCCTTCAGTGGTCACTCCTGCTGCTATGGGCAAGGTACAATGAGTTCATCTTCTGCATCCAGGGATGCCTATGTTTCCTGTGAATTTTTCATTTGTTTCCACAACAGCCCTGCGGTGGGCACTGTTAGAGCAAGTGTCCAAGGCCACTCACCCAGCAGGTAAAAATCAGTGTGCTCTGGAAGCCTTGCTCCCAGCCCCCTGTCACACTGTCCCTTTAGCACTGCTTACAGGCAGGCGCCCTGACACTGCACTGAGCAGGAGAGCTGGTTTGGACTGGGCTGGGTTAGCCTGACCGGATGTTGCCATTGGGTTGGTCCAGGGAACAGCCCATTTAGTCCCCCTGTACTTACAGTTTAGTGAGGCTGTGCAGTCCTCTGAAGGCAGAGATGGATACAGAGCGAATCTTGTTGTTCTGCAAGCACCTGTGACCAACAGTAGTCAAAGAGAAAACAATGAAACGCTGTTAGCTTCGAAAGGTAAAGAGCCAGCCGGGAAGATAGAAGCTGCTGTGGTGGTGGAGCACGCCTGTGCTGCCGGCCTCGTCCCTCCCATGGCTGAGATGGTCAATCTCATCAGTGGTTTTTACTGAAGTTAGAAAATGACTTGAGAGGAAAGGGAGACACAGCAGAATAACTGGCCCAAACCGGCATTTTGCTGTTAAATTCTTGCTAGCCAGGGCCAGTTTTTACTTGCAAGTTGAAGCAATAAATGGAAATAGTATCAAGCTGCCGTCTAAGCGAGTATTTCTATTCATAGATTGTGCAGCTCTCAGGCCTCATGAGAAAAGTTTCTTTGTGCAGTGGATAACTTACAGTTGGTCAAAGTGCAGAGAGCACTGCAGAGGAGTGCTCAGCTAACTGGGGGTCTGCGTCACCTCCCCTGCCCCCCCCCAAGGCTCAGGGACCATGGCGGAGGAGGAGGTTGGGAAACAGCATCTTTGGAACCTGACAGGACTGCTCCACCCCTGAGCTCACAGCAGTCAGTCTTCTAGCCTGGCAGGGAAGGCGAGGGGAGCCTGAGCACTTACCACTGACTGATGAGCTACTGGCAGTACACGGCTTCTAGAAGGGGGAGAGCCAGTTTTCTCTCACAGTGTGGGCCCTGGTAGGTTAACTGTGAACGCCTCTATGACACTATACCTGGTATACTCCACTGTACTCCAGCGAATGCCTCCCTCCGCCCCCACCCACTTGGGAAACACCAATTGGACTCAGCAGGTCACTTAAAAAAACAAAACAAAACACAACACAACACAACACAAAAGAAAGAGGACACAGAGCTGGGAGGTGTGAAGAGGTAGGGCGGATCTGGGAGAACAGTGGGAGGAATATGATAAAATATAGTGCATGAAATTCTCAATTAGTAAAAGGACTATTATAAAATTTTGTAGTTGTAAAGGCACACAGATAGAAGTTAAAGTCGCTGTCTAGGGTTTTCCAGACAATGACGGATGCAGAGAAAAGCACTCACTGATCATCACATAGGCCTGAAAGCTAGGCTTTTAAAATGTCATGTTACACGCATCCAGATTTCTAAGCGCTCACGCAGAACCAGGCAAGAAACGTATGTGACATACGACACCACAAACCATACCGGCACAAACCATATCTCATCGAAACCCCAAATCTTAACAAATCAAATTTGGTTTGACTAACCTGACACTCTTAATCACAAAAGCCTTCGAGACAGCCTGTAAAGGGTTCAAGTGGCCAGTGAAGGAGGAACACCAGGACAAAATGCAGGCTTACAGTGACCTCCAGTCACCCTGGAAGTTTGGCTTCAGTTGGACTGCGTATTAGAAGAAACCCAGGGCTCAGCTCGCCCATTCAGCACACCTGCGTGAGGCACCACAGCCCTGTGGTCCTGAAGGATGACGAAGCAAAGAAGGCAGGCTGCCCCTGGCTTGGATTCTGGGTCGCCACTGTTCTGGAGAACGTCTTACATTTGTATATGAATTGTTAGGAGCAATACGAGAGAAATCGACGGAAATGAACTTCAGTTAGTGTGATATTTGATTCAAAGGTATTCCCCTGACTCTAACTGAAAAAACGCAGTTACGGAATCGATTGTTTCACATGACATTCTGTGGCCCAGTCGTGTGGAGGGTAACACATCTTTTTCCCCCTGGTACACACGGAGACTTGAAGATGAAGTGACATGTTTTCAAGTGTTTCTGAGTGTCTAGTAAGCAGCAGATTGCAAGGTCTGTGTGTGGAGTCAAGGTGTGCCTCTGGAAACCAGGTATAGTGTTTTGTTGCTAGGTTCTTTGGATCATTGTTTCGTGGAGTAATTTGCACGAATTAACTCAAGAATCAGGAATGAAGGCTTATGCCTGTAGTCTGAGTACTTTGGGCACCAAGGCAGGAGGATTTCTCTTAGCTCTAGGCCATCCGAGTTTACATACAGAGCGGGAGCTGGAGCAGTGGCTCAATGGTTTAGGGCCCTGGCTGCTCCTCCAGCTGACTCAGGATCCATTCCCAGCTCTCATATGGTGGCTCACAACCATCTGTTAACTCCGGGTCCCTGAAATCCGAAGTTTTCTTCTGGCACACACAGGCATCAGGCATGCGCATGCTGCACAGACGGACGTGAAGGTAAAGCATCCATAAAATAAAAATAAAGAAATCTTTAAAACAAAAGCAAGAAAATGTTTATTGTATATGAATGCTGTAGAACTGTTACCGACGGTCCCTGCCAGGCTGCCTGTTTCCAGATGAAGCAGAATCGCAGGCGCTGTGGTGGAAGTTGCTTTGCGAGGTTGCCGCTCCATTATGACCCGCCATTTGCACCCCGCAGAGACTCACAGCACCAGTGTGCAGGACCTCGTGGGATTGTTTACTTTCCACAAGAAATTAAAGTCGGGGCAGTGCATTTAATTCCAGCGCTTAGGAGGCAGAGGCAGGCAGCTCTCTGAGTTCGAGGCCAGCCTGGTCTACAGAGCGAGTTCCAGGACAGCCAGGGCTACACACTGAAACCCTGTCTTGAAAAAACAACAACAACAAAGTTTAAAATCGCCCCATATGGCAATTTAATCTCGGCACTCAGCCTGAAGCAGGTGGACCTCTGAGTTCAAGGTCAGCTTAATCAGCATAGCAAATTCCAGGCTAGCCGGGGCTAAACCTGCCTCAGAAAAATGAAATAAGAGAAATGAAAATTTTCCTTTAGAGTCATTCGATCTATGGATCCATAATCCGTGGATCCATGATCACTGAGCCCGTGAGAAACCTCATGGAGACCAGCAAGATGGCTCAGCAAGCCAAACTATCCCAGGTAGATGGTAGAAGGAGAGTAAAGACTATTACCCAAATTCTTTGGTCAAATCAAGCAAGTTTAGGTTCTGTCAGACAGGGCTATCTCCCAAAATCGAGATTTGAGAAAATAGCATCCTTTAATTCCAGCAAAATCAGTCCAAGACAGCCAAGGCTACACAGAGAAACCCTGTCTCGAAAAATAAAAAATAAAACGACGGAAAGAACTGTTACCGGCGCAATTTAAATATGTGGCCACAAGGTGGTGCTAGAGATCAGGAAGCGCTTTTGGACTCCTGAGGATTCTATGAGTTGCTGTGAAAAGCCATTTTTTTTTTTTTAAACTGGCAAATTCTGAAAAAATGGTTTGTCATTTGAGTTTTATTTTCAAACATGAAATACGTTTTCCTTCAAGATCCCTGGCATTTTAGAATGGTTTTTCTTTATGTAGTAGCTAATTTTTCATTTGGGTTTGCTCTGTTTCCATCGATTAGTATAATTTTAAATAACATCCAGTTTATTACACAGTTGAACCGATCAGGAAGACAAACAATCGTATGCCTTTCTTTTCATTTTTCTATCAGAGGAGGAAACTGAAGACTTAATGTCTGCCCTGAGCACTCGGTGTCAGAAACCCTGATGGACACATTTGTGTCTTTTCACCACATCAGAGCTTAGGAAGAACAAACTTGCAAGATGTGTGTGTGTGTGTGTGTGTGTGTGTGTGTGTGTGTGTGTGTGTGGGCTGTAGTTTATAACACCGCTCTTTACACATCGACTTGTGGGTCACGACCCCGTCGGGGTGGCCTCTCAGGTATTTCCCTTGCGATGATGGCTATGAACGTGGGGTCATGAGGAACTGTAGTAAGGCCTGCGTTAGGCGGGCTGAAGCGCGGAGCTCAGCTGCCAGGCTGAGGAGAGGGGGCACTCGATCTGACGCACGGATGGACCTGGGTGGACGCCATCAGCTCTTGGCGACTGTGCCAAGTCGAGGTCCCACCTGCCTGCGGCGCGCGGGCCCCCGCAATCACGTCACTTCCTTTTAACTACCCGAGGGAGGAAGCGCTGGTTCCGGCTCGCAGTTTGGGGGATGCAGCCCAATAAGTCAGGTAAGATGTGGTAGGAGGGGCGGGCGGCTGCTGGTCCGCTGAACTTTCAGTCAAGATGGCTGAGGGGGAACGGAAACGGGCGTGGGCTACCACACGCCCGGCGCCCATCTCCTCCAGGGAGGCTCCACCTCCTGAAGCGCCATAACCGCCCACAGCAGCGCCGTCTGCTGGCGACCAAGTGCTCAAGCCGCTGAGCCCGTAGACGATACCGCAGGTTCGAACCACAACACCGAGGCCTCTGCTTCTGTGCTCAAAACGGAATCAACTGCTACCTTGTACAACCGCCCCACCCACGGCAAGGCGTAGCCCAAAGGTGCTGTTTGACGCATCACTTAGATTCTTTCCCTTGGCAAGAGGAGGTGTGGGGTTGGGAGAGCTGCCTCGTGTCGTTAATCCTGAAGGCAGAGGCATCTCCTGAGTGTTAGGAGGTGGTGAGGGGTTTGCAGTCCTCTGTCCTTCAGTCCTGATCAAGGGAGGTGATGTAAACCCATCAACCTCTTCCTATAGACAGATGCCTTTCTTGACAGTGCTGATCCTGACCCCACCTCTTCTCTCGGTGTCTTTCATGTCCTGGTTCTTTTCTTGGGAATAGTGGGTCTTCGTTAGGAGCAACTGGAGCGTACCCGGGCACTGCTTGCTCCCGCTGTCTTAGGCTGGCTGCGTGACCCTTCCCTAGAGTAAGGTCTTTTACTGGAATAGCTCCTACTTGGTCCGTGGAGTGTGGTTGGTCCTGGGTCCACTTTTTCTTCTTTAAAAACTTTTCCCAGAAGGAGTTCCAGCAATTCCTGGACAGAGTTTTCAGGGGCTGCTCCCACCCAGCATCCCTCAGATGGGCGAGTGCTTGATTCTCTCCACATTTCCACTGTCTCAGAGACTCCTATGGAGTGAAGAACCTGGCTCAGCTGCTGGTCTGCCATCCACTTTGTGTTGGGACCTTCTAATGTGCACCCTGAAATCTCATCCACAGACAACCCTCCAGGAGAACTGCCAGGAGCAGACTCACGGGTGTTCTGCTTGGAGATGGTCCTTGCAGGAGGAGGAGGTAGGCCAGGACTGAGGCTTCTGCCGCCCGAGGGCTGTGAGGCGCCAGCACATCCTCTTACCGGCCAACCCGATGTATATTGTTGAGTACAAACCCAGCCGAACTCTTCATTAGCAGATGTGTGTGTCAATCAAGTCCACATTTTTTTCTGACATGACTTTAGAAATGAGCTCTTAAGCCCAGAGGATGGACAGGGTAAGAAAATGCCATCCCTTCCTGCCTCTGCACTGGCCTCACCCCTCTCCAGGTCCAGCTTGGCCCAGGCATTGCACTCTTGGTAACTGGGATATGCTGGTGACGGCAGCATGTTTATTCCAACTCCATCTATTCTCTTAAGAAAATACATGTGTGGATTAATACGCCAAAATGAAATCAAGGCATCTATGAAAATGAAGTGAGAAGTTCAAAGATGCTTTCTTGATAGTATGCTTCAGGGACAGAGGATCTAAGCCCAATGACTCAATACTTATTTATGACTTAGTCATCGGGTTGACATATAGTGACTCCTTGGTTATTTCGGATTGTGAGAGCACATTCATGAGGCCCACCTGGAGAGAGGCCAGCACACCAAGCCTAATCAAGGCCAAGACAGAGAGTGAATTTGCTGAAATAAACTCGCTAACGTGGAGAAATTCTGTGGTGGTTTGAATAGGAATGGCCCCGATAGGCTCATATATTTGAATGGTAGGTCGTTAGAGATGGTGATTAGGAGGATTAGGAGCTGTGGCTTGATTGCAGGAGGTGTGGCCTTGCAGGAGTAGGTGTGGCCTTGTTGGAGGAACTGTGTCACTGGGGTAGGCTTTGAGTTTTCAAATGCTCAAGCCAGGCCCAACCTCTCTCCTTTCCTGCTGCCTATCTGGATGTAGAACTCTCAGCTCCTTCTCCAGCACCATGTCTGTCAGCATGCTTCCATGCTTCCATGATGAGAATGGAATAAAACTCTGAACTGCTATATGCTCTGGCTATGGCTATATGCTTTCCTTTATAAGAGTCGCTGTGGTCATGGTGTCTCCACAGCAATAGCACATTGACTAAGACACATTCTTCACAATTTAAACCTTTTTTTTTTTTTTAAACCTGTGGCACTGGGGGCTAAAGCCAGTGTCTCGCACTTCCTGAGCAAGTGTTCTACCTCAAAGCGACCTCCCAGCCCACTATTTAATAGTGATAGTGGATCTTGTCAAAGATCCACACCTTTAAGATTCTTTTAAAGGGTTGATTTTATTTTTAATTGTGCATATGTGTTTATGTTCATATGTGCATTCGAGTGAGTCCCCTGGGGGCTAGAGGTGTTGGATCCCCTGGAACTAGAGATACAGACAGTTGTGAGTGACTAACTTGGGCTGGGATCTGAACTCCAGTCTTCTGAAAAAGGGATACTGACTCTCAACTAGCTCATCTCGGCAGTCACTGTTTCTTCTTCTTCTTCTTCTTCTTCTTCTTCTTCTTCTTCTTCTTCTTCTTCTTCTTCCTTTTCCTCTTCTTCTTCTTCTTGTACTTGTTTATTTGCATTTGTATACACACACACACACACACACACACACACACACACACACACACACCATACAGCATATGTAGGGATCAGAGGACAACCTTTGGGAGTCTTTCTGAGACTCTCCTTTAAGGGTCTATGTTCACATCATCAGGCTTGCTTCCTGTACTGGGTAGTTTTATTCTAATAAATCTAATTTTAAGAAATTTATTTTAATGTATTCTAACAAATAAATCTGTTAGTCTAGAGAACACTGACTGATATGACTAATACACACAGAGCCACCATGCTGGCCCAAAGCTTGGCACATCTTTTTCTGAGACTGAAATGAGCATTGAGCAGGAGGAGGCAGAAATGCATATTTCTGTTCTGTGGAATATGGTAGAGGACCCACAGCGCATGTGCTCCAGTTTGTGTAGGGATAGTTAGCTGAGATTAAAAAGAAAATAGAATGTCTGCTAGAAATACTTAGAAATCTTACCTGCAAGTCTCCAGCCAAGGGATAAATAATTTCTCCAGGTGGGAGATGAGACCAGATAGGCTAGGGTCAAATGGAGGAGGAGGCCCTCCTCTACCAGTGGACTTGGGGAGGGACATGGGAGAGATGAGGGAGGGAGAGTGGGATTGGGAGGAGATGAAGAAGGGGGCTACAGCTGGGATGCAAAGTGAACAAACTGATTTATAAAACAAATAAAAAACATGTGGTACGATGCTGTTCTCTACAGAAGTAACAAGAAACAGGCACACAAAACTGAAGGTTTGTGGTAAGCCCAGAGTTAAAAGTTTTCCTTACAGCTTTTGGAGCTCGTGGTACTTCCTGAAGCCATTGGGAGGGAGCGTCCTTATGAAGTTCCACTGCAGCGACCTGAAACACACACATGGTTCAGCCTGAGCGGCCCTTTACTTTACTGTCTTGCTTCTAATCATAGCACTGACGAGCTAGAGCTGGATTCCCAGCTGGATGCACCATTGACTGCTTTAATGATGTATTTTAAATGAGTGACTCAGAAAGCCCAACTAGCTATGCTTTCTCCAAGTTGCTCTGTGTGGTGAGCCATCACTAAACCTTCTTTCTTCTTTGTCCTAGCTTACTGAGACTGCCTGACCCACCAGCATTGTGACTTAGTTTCCAAACAAAACTCTGTCTTCCAGTCTTTTGGTGCTTTGGTGGAAAGATAACTTGTGAAATATTTGAATTTGGTTTAATAACCTAGACGGATGTTTGGTGTGCTCTTAAGAGTGCTCACTCATTCATCCATCTGTTCATTCATCCACTCATCTAGTCATTCATTTATCCACTCTCTCAATAAATGTCTATTAAACTCATACCATGTGCTTTTGTAAGTAAAGCAGTATCTCCACCCTAAATCTCACACTCTGTTTGGATGGCCTATAAATTAGAGGATTCTCTCAGAGTTATTCCCCAGGCATAAGAAGGCATTCCGTTGTCCTATTCTTATTGTGTTTATGTATATATTCATTTCAAAGTGATTTTTTTTAGGGATTATTTCAGTGTGTTGGTAATTTTGGATGATATCTAGAAAAACACGGAGATGATGACATTTTCCCTCTTCGTAAGAGAAAGTTAGGACTCCAACGACTGGGGCAAGGAAGCACACTTATACCCTTAAGAAGAGGTACAAGTGAGATTCTAGAAGAACTCCCAAGCAGGGGGGAGCCAGCCTTGAGTGGAGTGGACTGCCATATGGGGAGGGAGGCTCCTTTAAGAACTTGCAAGAAATCTCTCTTGTAAAGCTAGAGCCTTAACAACACAGGTCTAGGGCTTCTAGACAATTTCTTTCTAAATTAAGAGGAGTATATGTTATTTTCATTGATTAGAAATAACCCAAATACTTTCATCATTTAAGAAGTCCTTATACTTTAAATTTTGATGTCCTGTTTGGTTCTTCACAACACACTCATATATAGTGTATGTATGTCATGGGGAGAAAAAAAAATCAAGGCAGAGCTCTGCTTTTTAGTGATTAAGTGCAGGGATTTGAAAGTCAGCTCTCAAACAAAGTTAACATTTATTTAGCTAGAACAATGCACACATATTCATAGCTACCTGTGTTTGCCTATCTCATTTTTTAGCATTTATATGAAACACTTTCAAAAAGTCTTGACTTCAATAAATACTCAATGGATGATTAGCTTCCTTGATACTTTACTTACATATGATTTAGGCCACTTCTGACATTTTTCTATAATAGTTGCAATGCAAAATCTGGAAGAACTCAGGCTTGTAATGTCTTTACACTAAAGCCTACAGCTTTTTTTCCCTTTCCCCTCTGGAACGGAACAAACAGGCTGAACAAGGTATACAGTTGAGCCAGGGATCGGCACAGAAGAGTTTATATGGACCCCTGGAATCAAGCAGCGTAGTCAGAAGTGCAAGACAGTGCTGTATAGCTATATCTATTGGTATATATATATGCTCAAAATTGCAGTGTGTGTGTGCGTGTGTATGTGAATGTGAATTCAGAGCCCCATGCATGTTAAACGAGGGCGATATTATTGGGTTAAACTCCTAGCTTAATAATACTCTTCCTTCTTTCCTTCCTTCCTTCCACTCACTCTCTCTTTCTCTTTTTACAAAAAAAATAGCCAAATGTTGTATATGTAAACTTCTGAGCATTGTCTGACACCTCCAAACATCTGCTGAATAGCCACTAATGTTAATGTTAAACTGAAATAACAGCTCACACTGAAGTCTTGATGGTTCCCACGTGCTGAGACCTGGCCTCCTTGTTCTTGTGTCGATCTGTGGGCCAGGTTGGGCGCCCTGAAGTCACTGCGCACACTCTTCACACGTAGTCTTGGAGGATACGGTCTCAGGTTTAGCTTTTGACTCTCTCTGCCCCCCTCCTCTCTCCTTCCCTTCCCGTACTGAAGCTGGTGGATGTTTATCTATGTGTGCATGTATGGTACACATATGCGGCCAGAGAATGTCTTTCTAAATTGAATCATAATTTAGCTGCATTATTCACTCTGTTTCTCCCATCTCTGCTCCTTTAGAGTTATTTCTAGGATCTTTTCTTTCAAAGATTAGTTGGATTGTTGGCAAATGATTTCCCATATTACTTGTGGGAAAATGAAATAAATGAGGCTGCCTGTATCAGGCTTTCATTTGGAATTTCCAGTAACTTGATGGAAGCTTTGTGGGTGATAATTATCTTTCTCTCGATTTAGAAATAAATTCAAAGAAACTCTTTCTAGGACTGCCTCAGTTTCTTTGGGGGACTCATTACTTTTTTCTCTAGCAGGACTAATTCCTATGGTAAACCATGGAAGGTGAAAAGGAAGGACACTGAGGGTGCTTCCTGTGTCCAGGCAATGTTACTTCCTTTGGAAGGCAGGCTTCTGTGGATCATTTTACCCAGGTTCTCTGTTTATGTTCCCAGACTGATATCCGCTGGGCGGCACCCAGATTCTGTGAACTTGGCGGGCTGTGTTGTGGCTCCTTTATCTGGGTGCCCAACATCTGAGTTGTGTAGGTTGTTTGAGAAAGCCAAGACTTGCCGACACCTGTGTACTCATGGCTTACTCTTACTGTGTCTGTGTGAACTAAAAAGCCAGAGTCACAAGATATTAAAACACATGAATGAAAATCCACACAAACAAAACCCAGAACCAATCAACTCAATAAAAACATACTGATGCTGCTACTCCATTGAGTTCTTAAAAAAAAAAAATGTGGACCAAAATATGTGTATGTGTGCTGCCGAAGTCTGGTTGAGTCAAATAACCATGACTAGAAACTTAGCACCAAAAATGCTAAGCCCAGTAGGGCACTTTTTACAAGACGTCTTTTCTTTTCTATACATAGACTTCAATTGTGTAGGCAAAGACCGCAACAGCAATATGTCTGCGTCAAAATGTGATTTAGAAGTTAATTTAAATGTGAAGTTCTGGGAATATTTCATCCAATTTATTTTGCTTGTTTTTCTTTATACACAAGAGCACAAGAAAAGTTCATGTGTAATAAACTCTAAAAAACAGTTCTTGGAATAAGCATCAAATAAAAACTCTGTGTAAGGAGAAAGTTGTGGGTGGTGTTTGTTTAGCCTCCTCCCCAAACCCTGGTAGCAATTAAAATGGATCCCATCTTTTGCTTAAATAAAATATGCTGAGTGGTCAACACCTCATAGAATTTTTTATGGAGTAATTTAAGGTGACATCTAATAAGTATTCAAGACCATGTGTGAAAAATCCATTAAAACTGATGTAGGGATGAAACTGTCTTTGAACAAAAATGCATCCTTGGTACTGGCCAGTGTCCGTCCTGTGTTTTCGCTGCAGTGCTAGCCAGCCGTAGGGACCAGCCAACCTTTGCTACTTACATTACAGTCACATTGGGAGAAACTGTCGGGACAGCTCGTAAATTGGCTTCATCACAGTCAAGTTCTAGATCTCGGCACAGACAATGCATGGGCACAGAGCCGACCACTGGACAGAGAGGAAGCGGGAGGAATAATGAAGTGAGGGGCCAGGGAGGGGAGGGGAATGAAGAGAAAGACATGCAAAGCCGTGAGAATATTGCCTACTACGAAAGTGTATCATGCTTTACCCAAGCCCTTGGGGGAATGCTTTAAATTAAGCTTCCACAGCTCGCTCTAATTTAACTTCAAGACCCGGCCAGCATGGCATTAACATTAGGAGATACACACATCGAGATCCCATCCCCCTTTTCTTTTTTTAAATAAAAGATTTATTTTTTATTCGTGTGTCATGGGCACGTATGTCTGTGCCTGCGCCTCCGTGAGTGCGTGTGTTAGCGTGCTGTGAGTGTGTGTGTGTGCGTGGGCGTCCTAAGGGCAGCAGACTTCTGCAGCTGGTGGTTACAGGGGGTTGTGAGCCAAACTCTAGGCCTCTGCAAGAGAAGCAAGTGTCAGCTGCTTGTGAGCCACTGGGAAATCTTCGCACTGCCATCTCAGATCTTAGTTAAGATAATGGAGTGCTGACTAACATGGGTTGGGGAAAGAAGGCAATTTCCTGAGCAAACTCCTTCACTATTCTTCTCTAGATGTAGGCCATGATGAAATGCGTTGAATAGTGTGATGGACTAGTGAGCTAAGCTGGAGCAGGAGCTCTGCCCCAGTGTTTTTTTTTTAAATAGAGGATTGATATACATTTGTTTCGAAATGAATGAAATCTTCTGCTTCTCTCACCAAAGGGAGTTTGTGTGTGTGTGTGTGTGTGTGTGTGTGTGTGTGTGTGTTTGTAGAGGAAGGGAGGTGGAGGGGGTGCTTAATGTCCATTTGAAAGCTTCTGTTTGAGAATACGTATTAAAAGTAATAAATAAAGCCTTTGGTGGAAGACCAAATCATTTTATCCAGAAGCAAGCAAGAAAGGAGACCTAAGCCCTGGGTAATGATGAGGTTTCATATTTTTTGAAAGGGTTTCCTGTGTAACTCAGGGTGGGGGCTTGAGGGCAACGTCTTGAAGCAGCTTCTGCTCGTCCTGCAGCTTTCCATGAGATATTATTGTGTAAGGTAAGCTGCCATATGCAAAACATCACACTGGTGGTTTCTTTGAGGAAGTTGTAGACAGGGATGCACTCGTTCCTGACTGACAGCAGTTAGAAGTGGTTCCCTCTGTACACCGGGCAGTACATACTTAGAGCTGTAGATGCTGCTAGGTGGTCCCCAGCACCAGGGGTAGGTAAACGCTGAGGGAACGCCTTCTTGGCAGGGACCATTCCACGGCAAGCACAAACCACACCGTATCAGTTATTCAGAGCACAAACGCCATTAGACTGCTTCGCTACGCGAACTGCAGGTCTAGGTGTATTGAATCACACCCCTAAGAAGTTCCAGCCCCACAAGATGGCCGGAAGCTTACAGCCCATTCTTCATCATTCCAACACCCAATATCAGTGAACCGGAATGCACAGAAAAGCAGTTATCCTGCAAATGAACCTCTGGGCATTATTCACCCTATGTATGACAGGAAGAGACTATTTAAAAGTACCTTTTGAATAACTCCTGAACTCTGTCATGTCCCCAAGTTGTACCTGTTTGGCAGAAAGTGGTGACGCACACCTGTGACAGATCCAGCATTTGGGGGGCAGAGGCAGAAGGACTGTGGGTTCAAAGCCATCCTGCTAATTTAAAATTGTATTAAAAATTATTCATGTAAGAATTTCAACTTGGTTTTTTAAAAAAAGGTTACTGCATTAGCAGGTTAATGCTTGTAGCCAATGAGCAAAACATTTCTCTCTCAAATCCTTCAAAGTTAAGCTTTCATCACAAATTGACCATCCTACCTCTGATGCTGTCCATGCCATTTCTCTGCAGATGTGACTTTAAAATGTGAAATTTTCACATTCTTTCAAGTTTCCAAAAATGTTGTCTTTGTTTTGTTTTGTTATTTTAAACTGTTTTGGGTTAATTTCTAACAAGAATCTGTCATGAGAAAAGTGATACAGCAGGAACCTTAAGTTAAGTTTCACCCCAAAATTTTTATCCTGCACTGTTATTTCATGAACTAACTGAAGATCCTCACTCTCTCTAAAGAAGTCTAATTAAAAATCTAGCTTTTCATGTCCTCTAAGCACTGAGAAAACATTACCTCTTTGTTGATGTTGATCCATGTCTCTGGAGTAATTACACTTGTGGCAAATCTTTCCACAGCGACAGAGTAAGAAAAACGGGGTTCTGTTGCTGATTCTGTCTCCCCTCCCCTCCCTTATTTGTTTTTGCTTTAAAACCTGTGAGTTCTGTAAGCTGGCATTTCTCTCCTTGATTTCCATGCTCTGAGCTTTAGGTGATGCTACTGAATTCTCTTCAGCAAGATCTCTCTCTGTCTCTCCCTCTGTCTTTCTGTCTGCCTCTGTCTCTCCTGCCCCTT